AAAAAAAAGCATTAAATCAAGTTAAAACAGGAGACATATTCCTACTGAGAACTGAGTCAGTGCATTTACTAAAATTCACAAACATAACTGAGCTCACAATTAAACAAGTGTGCATACACTTACCACACAATAATCACCCTTGGGTACAATGATAACATCAATTTCCTTTTTGGTGAGTTCTAAACAAACATAAAAATTGTAAATAATCTGACTGCAATGACATTGAGCCAAGCTTTTTCATTCTAATATGAAGAACAACAAAATAAAACATAAAAAAGACTCCTAATCATTATTAAACTATTCTGTGGTGCCCTGTATTCAAGACTTCAACTGTATTGATGAACCCTGACAGTGTCTGTTACCTTTCTTTGACAGAGGCCGTTTGCGGACACAAACACAAATCTGATGGTCCATCACCTGTTTGGAAAAAAAAAAAAACACAGACAACATGAAGTTTTTCTATTTCCTATTTTCCCATTTTCCTGTGTTAGAAATAAAATCCTAGCACACACTAACTAGGCAGCCATTACTGACTAACTTCCAAGACACTGACTTTTTTCAAAGTATTTGAAAATAACCTCTAACTTCAAGAAGTGATTAACATATAAATTCTCTCTACAGTATCCATACATTTTCTGGCAAACAGGTAATGAGAATAATCAAAGCTATCAGGGAGAGGTTGTTATCTCAGTTGATCCATCACCCAATTCTTACATCTAATTTACAAGGAAATGTATAGCAGCTAAAAGGGAGAATGAACAATCAGATCTTGGTAGTTAAATGGTTAAAATTCATCATCATCCTTTGACCACTTGGAATAAAGACAAAGAAAATTAATTAACAATTTCAAAAAACCTACCGGGTCTGACATTGTTAGTCCTTTAAAATCTAAATCACTTTGATATTCCCTATTGATTTAAAAAAAATAGAGGCTCTTCATTAGTCATTACGTGATCCATTGTCTATGTGAAAAAAGTAATTGACTGTGTAAGAGAAAATTTAAAAAAAAAAATTTTTTTTTCAAAAAAAGAGAAAAAATTAAAATTGACAGTTAAGACACCTTATCATTTGTATAAATTCCCAATTAGGATTTCCAGGATCCACCTCTTGCTGAAGTCGAAGTTTCATTTCTCTTTGCTCTTGTTGTTGCGCTCTGAACACAAAGCAAATTCAAAATTCAAATTATCATAAATATTCAGTATCCAAAGATTTTTCCTCCGGTAAGTGCTGACCAAATTCTTGACTCTCATTTCACTAATCATGCATTTTTAATTCTTTTGGTTCCCAAGAACTTTGCCTACCTTCTTTCCTCTCTGTTCTTTTTCAATCTCTCTATCTCTTTAACACAATTGGAGCGTCTCCTGTTCACTGGAAAAATTCAAGCAGGTACATTTCTCAATAACTGTTTGTTGAGAGGTGTGCTTCAAAAATCTTTCTACAGGAGCACACTCTTTGTACATGTATAGTGCCTTCGAAATTTTTGCGCTGGAAACCAAACAAACAAACAGTGACAACAAAACAAAAAGGTGCCTTCTGTACCTGGATAAGACTCAGCACTATCTTTCTGTGCTACTTCCATCTGAGAACCTCCATCATCATCATTAGCAAGATTAAGAGCCATAGGACGTTCAACTTTGGCTAAAAAAAGAAAGAAAAAGATTCAGTGAACTCGGCACTCAATACAATATGTCCACAATGTGAAGTTTACATGGGCTTCCTTTCCGACAAGAAATGTTGCCATTGCCCATGTACCCATATCCCCATGTCCTTTTGGACCCCTCTCCCCCATGCTCCCCTGTTCCCTAACTCCCCCTTCTGTTTCGTCCTTATTCCCTACCCCTCCATTCCCATGGCCCCTGTTCCCCTCCCCCTTCATTTCCTTCTGTTCCCCAGCTTGTCAGATTTTGCTTCAATGTGCTGTACACTCCTAGGTGGAAAAGAGTGCAGTGAGAGCAAATTGTCTTGCCCAAGAACACAACACAATGACTTAGCCAAGTCTACAATGTGCCCCTCTACATCCAGAGTGTGGCACCCTTGATGCTAAGCCTACCAGACACTAGCGTCAGTGTGCTGACACTGCCACTTTGTCTCTTATTTCAACTTCAGCTCAATGAAGAAAATGAAAGTCTTTTGATGGATAAGAACAAGTCTTAACAGAGTAACAGGACACCAATGGGATCATTACCCTCTCACTAACATTGTTGCATCAATTATTACTAAATTTCAAAACAAACAATAACCTGATTGTGGATGGACTTTGGGTGAAGGAGCACTATGATTTTCATTCCTTGCATTCTAAAAAAGAAAGAAAGGTATTTTCACCCATAAATAACAAAATAAGATAATTCGACAAAGGAAAACTTTTTCCATTCCTACCTTGTTACTGGGTGTGGTTGATATCCGTTTGTTGGATGGAGTGGGCTTTGGTTTGGGTTGAACAACAAGCGTTGGGTTCAGAGCAAAAATCTGGTCAATTTCAATCTGTATTAAAGAAAAAAAATGGCACACTGCTTTGAAAAACTCATGCTTTCTTTTGATATGACAGTCTGTAAACAGAAGGAAAATGAAAAATCTCTGTCACATGATCCACGATTATATTAACCCTTTAACTCCCAGAAGTGATCAACATAAAACTTCTCCCTACAATATCCATACATTCTTCAGCAAACAGGTGACAAGAATATTAAAACTTATCAGGTAGAAGCTGCTGTCTTGATCTAGCATTAAGTTCTCATAACTAATTTACAAGGAAATGTGTAGCAGCTACATGGGAGAATTAACAATCAGATCTTGGGAGTTAAAGGGTTAACTGTTTTCACCTCTTTTCCTTTTGTTTCTCCATTTTCATACCACTCAACAGTCACACTTTTGGTGTCCAGGTTGATGCCACTTATCATGGATGAATGGACACGGCCTAGAAGAAAAAGATAACTTATCACATGAAGGCACTGGCCATTAGTCTGTTAGCTTGATGGATTTGGAGTTTCTTAATTTCCAGAATGTTCAACTTTACCACTCTGCTTGACCTAAGTTGTTTCAAAGCACATCACAATCTGACCTTCTTGTTGTGCTTTTTCAATAGCTAACTTGTTAGATACCCACCAGCTGGGATGTTTAACTAATTATCATCATTCATCTAATTTTTATATCTAAAATTTATATAAATTTTTGTCTCCACAATTGGCACAAGGGTGCTTAATACAAAAAAATGTACCATCCCCAGTTTTATTCTTATTTTTTAAAATGAATCTACTACTAAAACAATTCCAACTTTTTTTCTCAAAATCGGGATATTTGCATAAAAAATCAACATATTTTTTCCCAGTTACACTCTGAAAGAAAAACGCGTCGATGAATGCAATGTATACAAGTGTTAAAAAATCTACGTATTTTTAAAATGACTAGCGATTTTGCCAATAGAAACTAAACAAAGAAATGAATAAAAACAGGCTAAAATATTTATTTATCTTACTTTGAATCAACTACTATAATTAGATACATAAGCTAAATTGTACACGCTGGGCAGTTCGGTACTTCGACAAAGATACACAAACAGATCAGACTTAAATTCCTGGGAGACACCACGGGAGAACATTGATAACGCTGTTAGACGACTGAAGCGTTGTTTGAATTAATAATCACAATATTTGAATTATTGCAAGTGTAAATAATCGATGAACACCTCTCTTATTGATATCTTGGCTAAAATGTACACCTGGGCAACCGTATTTTAGTCCTAAATTTCATAAAAAAATTAACATAGCATAAGGAAGCAGATCTTTGAATAGGAGAGCAAATTTTGCAGAAAAATTATTATTATGAAACGAGGCGTTACCAGGGAAAATATTAAGAGTTTGAGTTATTTACACGCGAAATAAGGACCGGTTCGCCGTTGACAAATAAATGCGATCGATCATCCAAGGTTACTAAAATTTTAAACTCGCTCGCGGGTAACTGAATGTCGTAGAGAAACACTACACAAGTAAAATCTCTTTGTAGCAGATTTAGTGAAAGAGAAAAAAAGGATGTAGAAACGAGTCAAAATAGGCTGAGTCTGTATCAAGGCCAAAAAGTTGTCGTCAACTGCAGACAACACTTAGTTACTACTTTATCACGTACCATCAGTCCGTTGAATGTCGACTTTAATCCCCACCACAAGTTTACCGAACTTGTCCATTGCAGCAGTTGTTTACAGTTTCCCGCAAAAGTACGATCCTTAGAGTTGGGATCTGCAGAGATCAAGTGGCTCATTCGGTTCTGTATTTCAGATTTTCCGCTCAAAATCCTCTCCGCCAGCGCAGACACAAAAATTTACATTTGCAAGAAACGATTAGGCCCGCAATCAAACAGCGGTGGCACGTAACCGTGATGAATGTTGTATAATAAGTACCATACCGTCCTCAAGAATATTTGGGACAAGTGGCTCAACAGGGAAAGTTCAGTTACAAAAGTGATTCTTTTCGACAGGTCGCCCAAACCTGAGCCTCGACTGGATAGAGGGAAATAGAAATGAAATTGTAGTGAGAGGAAATCGTATTGTAGTCACGCTGGAATTAGCAGACACTACTAAAACTCAGACCAAACGTTCGAAGACCCTTTTCAAAAGCGCTCGCAAAATTTACGGACTTGGTTGGAGAAAGGGAAGCGAAGGACTGCATGTCGACAAAAAAATGTTAGACTACGGCTTTTTGTGCTGAGGTGTCGCGGTTTTTTGTCAAAACTGTAGTATAGGTTTCGGGAACACAAGAAAACTTCTGTTTGAGTATCGTGACATTCTCCGGTGACACAGATCGTAATCAATCAAACAACGAACAATAAAACAACACCGAACTGAATGAGTCACTCCCACAGTCCTTTCAGTGAATCATGTACGCGCGCGCGTCTTGCGAGTGCAAAACGTCACAGAGCAACCGCGGGCCTGACGTGCGCAAAACGTCACATAACCGTCATAATGCACTTTGTTTCATCACAAAAACCAAGAGCTGTTCTTTGGGCTGGTTTAATTTCCGTAAAGATGAGAAAATGACAACTTTAGGTTACCAAGCTAGTTGATGACAATTACGCTTTGTAACTTTAATAATGCATTGAACGGAAAGCCAAACATTGGCTTTTGGTCGACTGAAAATATATAGCTACTTCTCTGAGAGGAAAAAATTTCAAGTTTCGACCCAAGTAAGTGTTTTCAATTTGTGTTGCAATATTTTACAAGAAATTTTATGCTGTGAAATGAAGCCTAAGTAATTCGTGTAGGGTAACGCAAAGGTGGATTGATGTAGCGTATTTTCACGTAGAAAAAGGAGCATACATGTCGCTGAAAAAATTCCTCTCAGATCTGGAACTTTGTGAACTGAATTGTGGTTCATGCAGAAATTGTAAAAAACAGTTCCAAGACTTTCCTCATCCACTTCTTTAAGACGTTGAGACATTTAAGAAGTAACCAAATGTCTCAGTGTTTCAATTCTTGACACAAAATTTCCAACTTTTTTCCAATTCTTCGACCACTACGCAGCTCAAACGAACACTTCTGTACTTGTGCGACTTTTTCAGGCCTGGATGTACATTTGCAAGCTGGTGTGAACTCTTAAATCGTGCACACCTTTTCAAATCCTTGCAGACGTTCCCGTTGCGTAGCGTTGATACTGATTTATAAAGTACTTACATCATGGTCGAGTTTCTGGGAACACGTTTTTTTTGCGCTGCAATTTCGAATCCACTGTCGCATCCTGAAAAGGCAGGCTTAACTCTTTCAAATAACGAAGGAGTATCGAGGATGCTCTTAGTGTCCGCGCCAGGAAGGTTTTTGAGCGTATCTATAAACGTTGTCGTTCTGTTCGGCTTAATGAAGCAGTATAGGGATTCAGTTCTTCGCTAACCGACTTGAGATCTTGCCAAGCATCGATTTCCGCCTACCACTACCTTTAAAGTTTTCGTTTAAGCTTTAAAAGGTGAATATCAGGGCTGTGGTAAACTGAGTCTTGTTGTTCTTCTGGGATTTCTTCCACTATGAAGTGTTCTTTAATAAGCTGAGAACAAGAAAACGAGAAGGGAATTAAAATTTTAGTTGGCCATTGCTCTCAGGTTAGCCTGCAGAACAAGCGTCATTTCTTTGTGTTTTCCGGTGAATGAGGGCAAGCACGAAGCGAGCGTGAGGAGCGAGAGACGTGCGAAGGAGCTGAACATGCATTAGGAGCGAGACACGGGCGAGAGAGAGAGAGCGCCAAGAAAAGGAGAAAAATGTCGTCCTCTCCTTGCACGTGTCTCACCCCTCGCGCGTGTTTCACTCTTTGCGCGCCTCGCCCTTCGCGCTTTCCTCGCGTTTGTATACATTCGCCTGATACACTAAAACTGTCGCCTGTTTGCAGGTTATCGCAAGGTGTAGGCCTTTAATGTTGGAACTCAACTAAGCGGAGGTATAAGAAAGCCCTTAACCCCTTCTGATGGGCTGCTAGATTCTCCTTCCAAACTCCTGCATTTCCTTGGTGAAACATAAGGAGAAATAAGTGTTACAACAAAAGACTTGGGCTTCATACCCCACACCCCTTGAACTGAAGTTCATTACCTGATGGAATTTTTTCTCCAGCTGAGGTTTATTACCAGTTGTTCTCTCTTCATAGCTCATCAAAATAGTTGTGTTCTCATTGCTCAGATCACAAAGTGTAGACACAAGAGGTTCTAAAGACTAATAATAGAAAAAAATTTTAAATCATTCAGGCTCATCAAAAGACAAACAATTTCACAGGCAGGCTTGTGTGATGGACAACTCAATCACAGGCAACCATTTAACCCTCACAACCAAGCATCAGTATGCATATTCTCTATACTGTTCCCTTTAAATTTCCTAAGATGTTGACAGGGAGAATTTGTTCAACAATCAAGAACTTCTTTAGTTGGAGATCACTTCCTTTTTTTCTCATGACCTTAATGTATAATTCAGTAGTGATGTTGTAAGGAGAAATTAAATGCTTGTCACTCCTAGGGATCAAAGGATTAATCCTTTAACTCCCAAGAGCTGATTGTTAATTCTCTCCCCTAGCTCCTACACATTTCTTTGTGAATTAGTTCAGAGAATTTGGTGTTGGATCAAGACAACAACTTCAACCTGATAAGTTTAAGAATTCTCATTACCTTTTTTTTTATAATGTATGGATATGATAAGGAGAAGTTTCATGTTAATCACTTCTGGAAGTTAAAGGATTAACCCTTTCACCCCCACAAGTGACCAAGACAGAATTTCTCCTTACAATATGAATACAATATCAAGCAGGCAGGTGATGAGAATAGAGAAGAATATCAATCATGGGATTATTAGTTGATCCAATACCAAATTCTCTGAACTAACATCATAAGAATTGTATAGCAGATAGTAAGGAGAATTACTAATCAGATCTTGGGAGTGAAAGGGTTAAACTTGAAGAGGAGAGCTCAGGACAACACTGTATAAGGGACAGAAAAAAGGTATTAGGGTGTAAAGAGATAAGAGCCAAGAGCCAAAAATTTCATGGATGGTTGGCTTGAGTGCAATAGAAAAAAAAAAGTTCAACAAAAGTATTCTAACCTCTTCATAGTAAATGCAATCAGCAACAAGAACAAGATCTGGGCAGGGTTGAAATGCTGACACATCTTGACCCCTAAGATTCCAGACATGAAATACATTAGCCTCTTACATGTAGCAGGCTCTCACTAGGCTGCTTCATAAGAATATAATGTCCAGGCTTCTTGTAAAGCCTGCAGATGTGCTAGTAAAAGCCAGCTGGCAGGCTGAAACAACATCAGAAATGATATCGCAAATGGCACAAATATCCTGTGAAGGAGAAATGCATGATGAGAGGAATGGAAAGGAAAGGGGCAGATAAAAATGAAGGCTTCTTACCATTTTAAGGTGGCAGCTGCAAATGTTCCAGTTATCATATACTGATTGCTAGTTTTGTTCAATTCAATAAGTGGTACAACCTCGGGCAAGTCTGTACAGCACACATGTGCACTGAAAATTATAGCAAAATAATTTGAGATAAAAAGAAGCTAACTTTGTGCAAATATTTGTTGATGAAGCAAACAACACTCCTTAAGGTGAGACACTTTTTAGGTGCACACCATTTGAAAACTGGTTCAAACAACAAGGCACCCCCTTAGTAAATGCTTAGAGGGTTCCAGAACTTCACAACAGTTGAATATTCCATCATTTAAAACTAAAACAGGGCAGCAATCCTTTTTTTATAGAATTGTTAATATATGGAATAATTTACCATCTGAAATCAAACTTAGCCAATCTCTAAATAATTTTGAGCATAATTTAAGAAGGCATCTTTTGAAAAACTTTTTGCAATGAGCTGTTCCATCATCACAATTTATTTACTTAGTCTTAAATACTTATTTTGATTACCCTTTTAATATTTATCCTTTGATTCATTAACTATTTATTTAAATTATCATTGAAAAATCCCCATGAGGAGTTGTTAATAAATATATCTTATTAGATGTTTTGGTGTGTAGTATTGCTGAGTATTTTGACGAGTTGTTCTGTATTTTGATGAGCCTAAAGGGCGAGTCAAAACACAAACAACAAGTAAAATACTCAGGGATACTACACACCAAAATGCCTAATAAGTTATTTTTTATCCAACTAACTTTTTTTTCTGTTAAGTATTTCTGCTCATTATTCACAAGGCAGGAAAAGCAAAGTGGATAGAGAGACATAGTGCATGCAGCCAACTGGTTACACAGGTTTTTTTTTTTACAGTAAAAAATAATCAACAATCCAAATGACTGTACAATATTGCAGGATATTTGTACTCTATTTGCATGTTATTTGCACTCTGCTTTGTGCGGTTGGTTAATAAAGTATTGTATTGTATTTTATGAACAACTTTCTAAGCTCGAAACTTCTCTTGAGTGGAGGCCTCTTCAAAGTGGACATCGCCTCTAGGCTGAACAGGTTTCAATGATGAACGCCTCCCGAGTGGACACCTTTTTAAGGTGGTAATATATCTATGGAGGACACTTCCCTATGATGTCTTCCTCTCTTGAGTGCACCCTTCCATAACATGGACACCTCTCTAAGTTGGAGAACTCTTTTAAGTGGAACCAACTCTGATTTGGATCCGTTTACACTACGGTACTTACCTATTCAAGGCAAGTGAGCTCCTTAACCTACGCTTACAAAATGTTGGCCGCGGGATAAAGGGATTGGATAGTAAACGGGTGTCATGAAGATGTGATCCTTTTAAAAAGGTATAACCATTGCTCATTACAACGAAGTTGTGTATTACCCGCACGAGGCAGCTATTAGTCCAACCACACCAGTACCGGCACCTAGTTCCACAACTTGCTTATTCACGAGGTGTTTTGTGGGGCAAAAGTGCTCTGTTTGTAGATATTTCGCAAGAACTAGGGCAGCATCCCATACAACACAACTTTCGTCACCTACTTCAGCTTGCTTGATCTTAAGTATTCCATCTTTACACTCGATTTCTCTCTCAAATGTACGATCACAGAGATCTGCACCTTTGGCCGCCATGTTGAAGCTCAGACGGCAACCGCTGACTATTTAGGAACAGCTGTGGCTTAAGAGGAGACTGAAACGAGCATAGTAACTGCACCGATGGCTACATGGACCCCCAGGCTTAGGGCTCATTTCAAAGCTTTAGAACTAAGGGAAGGGGAAACATCTAACCCAACCACCCCATAGCAATCTTTCCAGGTTTTGCCTATCGTTTTTATGGACGCTTTCGTGATGCAAATATTGGGGAACAATTAATTCAATTAATTAATGCAGGTATTGAGAATAATCCAACTTAGCAGCCAGGGGGAACAATTCAAATCAGATCTTGGGAGTTGGAGAAGTACCAAATCACTTCATTTTAAATCATTATTTCTACAACAAAGTAATTTCCATACAACAACGTCAAAACAATGTGAATCCTTTTATTAATTAAAAATGCCACGCAAGTCAAATCTGTACGTCAGTTGAAGTCTGACGTTTTAGCTTCAGATTTAGTTACAGCTCCTGATTTGGTGCAAATAACAACATCACCCCCTAACTAATGAGTTATTCGTGTGCCGATTCTCTCACATTTACTTCAGTCTTTCTGTTTGTATTGAAAGATCATGACCTTTTATCAACATATATAATCTCATTACAATCATCCATACATTCCTCATAATAACAATTAGGAGAATCTGGAGTTTGTATGATCCAAGCACCAGTATACAATTTCTCCTTTAGGGTCTCTGATTTTTTTCAACGCCAGCTGGGAGAAGTCCGTTTTTGATCAGGTTACACCCTTCAAGTCCTGCAAGAACTAGAGTTTTGGCGATTTTGAAAAACTCAGAGGTTTTAGACTTTACAGTATCATTAATAACAAATATTTGTTTTTTTTCCAAGTAGAAAATTCTGTACAAATATGTCCTTTCAGATTACAGTTCCCCGCCATGTTCATGTAAATGTGCGCCCTCTAGGTCAATATCCTGACATGCTGCAGGAGTTTTAAATTCCATGCGGTATTCACATCTGCTGGGCTCTGATACTTGAACCAGCTCGTTTGCTGAGCCACAACGAAGGATTACCTGCAATGAAAAGGAAAATGTTCTCTATAAAATTGTTACATATTGGTTCGTCGGACCTTGTGTCATATGGAAGTTAACTTTGTTCTCGGTTTTTGCAGGTTAGGAGTTCGAGTCTCGTTGAAACTCCTTCATGAGTGAAGGGGTATCCACGGAAAACGTAATTTGCTTTTTCTTGTTCCATTTGGCTAGGTTTTCGAATGGACTGTTTCGCAAAAATCTTCGATGGCTAACACATGCTTTTGAAAGACTAGTAAACGATGATGTTACAAACAAAAGAGAGCATTTGAGGAATTTTCTTTGAGTATGAAATCCAAGATTGTATTGCTTTATTTTCACTACGTACTGCTATTGATTTGAAAAAAAAAGAAAAAAAAACTCACGCCACTTGCTCAACCAATCAGATGCAAAACTAAGGTTAACTACTCGCGTTTTCCCGCGCCTTTGACAGTTTACTCGTCCTAACTTGAGTTCCCAGTGGCTCCTTGGGGTATCTTCATGTGCTCTGATTGGTCATTTTGGCTACTTGGCTTAGGTTCTAGAAAACTCACTGAGCGTCTAAGACTACACTTTGAACGTGACGGTCAAAGCTAATCTTTACTCACCTCAGCTGATCTGCTAGGTCCGTTCCAACAGCTCTGTCCTCCTGAATATTTCATACGGCTGTACTTATTGGGGTCACCTGTCCATTCACCCCATGTTCTACAAAAGATTCACCTCAAAATTACAAGGTTACCAAATCTGCGATTTTAACATTCGAGGTAACTCAGTTCTAAGTTATTCATACGGCTTCAAAGATGGCCCTGCGCGTTCTTTTTCCTTTAACAATAAGCGACAACAAGGAAGTGACTACAAAGCCAAGAAGATACATTTTCTTCGCGTAATCAGGCTTTTTAACTAGCAAATTATACTTGTAAGAAATGGTACAAACACAAATGGACTTCATATTTCCTGCCATCAGTAATAACTCTGCATGTTGTTCATACATTTGTCATGTAGCTATAGATAAATGACAAGTTTTAACTAAACGTTCTGTTTTTTGGGAAGCACGAAACGCTAGTTTTGAGAGCATTCACGTCGCCAAAGTTTTGCCTGGGTTTGACCCAAAAGTAAAACTCACCCCAGAGAGGTTTCTGAGCCTCCATCTTTGGGCTGCTGTGAAGCTCTGTCAAATGGACACAGTTTGTACACATACCTAACAATTGGGAATACAAACAAGCGTAAACAAGATGTTTAGACCAAAAATATCTAATCACCATGCATAAAAAAAGAAAAGAAAGCAAAAACAGAAACAAAAATACTAGAAAAAAAAAACACAACAATACAGACAAGCAAACAAATGAACAAAATAATTTCTTAAAAAGGACCACTTTCCTCATTTCAGTTTTGGACTTGGGTTTGGTCTGTCCCATATTATAATAAAGCTCGGATATAACACGTACTGTCATTGGTTGAAAGAGCGTGCTCAATGAGAGTTTAGAGCATAGAACTGAGCTAAAGCTGTCACGCCATCTGCCAAATCGTACTATGTCCGACCTTTTCCGGGACTTCTTTCTAGCTTTTCTTTCGTTAATAAAAGTGAAATTTCGGAACAAGCGAGCAAAGGTTTGCAAAAATGCCAGGCTTCCTGCGTGCTTTACAACAGAACAGAGCACAGTCAAGGCTTCTCTATTTGTTAACTAGAGCGGCACACAGACATCCCGCGCTTAGCCTATTCCCCCATGCACCACCCACGGTCCCCTAAATACCAGGGGGGGAAGGGGGAGGGAAACTTTTTCGGTTTGATATTGTATCACTTACTCTCTGTCGGTGTATTCAAAACATTGTCCCTGAAGGGGCGAAAACTCTTCTTGCTGGCCAAGGTTCAGATTCAACGTTCGCTCAAGGTCACTAAAATCCAGGAAAAAATAAAACAGCTCAATGAATGCAAAATCAAGAACCGATGGCGAGAAAAAAGAGGAACAAACGGACGAATGAATGGAATGTTAAGTGTACGAGTAAGTTGACAAAATAAACGAAAAACTAACAGACGAACAAACAAGAGAGCGACCGAACGAACAGCTTCTTTAAGAATCCTCAAACCTGATTTCTCTTTCTGCGTCATTTGAAGCGGTATCTGCAGCATTAAACTCCTTTCTAGCATCATCAGCAGCTAAAATATGCAAAAAATAAAAAACAAAAAACGAAGGAAAAAATATTACATGAAACAAATCAGACCTTGTAAAGATACAATAGCAAAAGATTTTAACCGTCATCAAAATGGTCCTCATAATGGCTCTGTGAGCAGTCACTGGTCTGAATTTGAGCCCACGAACTCCATCCGAAGAAACTCGCCTCTTCTCGGGGAGGAACGAAGATCGGGCAAGAGAGATCGGAAAAAATCGAGTCCGAGTATAGACATGGCCTCCAAAGCATACTGTAACTAATGTGTTAACATTAATAACCCTTCAACTTACCAGAAATTTTTGCTTTTGTTTCCTCGTCATAGTCCGGCATCTTTAAATCATCATCTTTGCTATCTGCAAAGTTATAAGTTGAAAAAGAACAGAATCTTACTGTCAAAGAACTTGCTCGCGTCATGGCTAGCGGCCTTCGTACAGAGATTTTTCCAAAAGGCGCGCCGATACCCTATAACTCCCAAGATCTGATTCTTAACCCTCCACACTAGCGGCTACACATTTCCTTGTAAATTAGTTACCAGAATTTGGTATTAGATCGAGATAACAACTTCATCCTGATAAGTTTGAGTATTCTCATTCCTTGTTTGCTGGACAGTGTAGGGAATATTATCGGGAGAAGTTACAAGTCTATCACTTTTAGGTGTTAAAGGTTTAACTGGTTAACGCACCTTCTGGGTTTGGTTCAGGTATTTTCTTCTCGGCCTCCTCTTTGATTTCGTCCACGTGTTCGTCTCTATCATCATCTTCGTCGTCTTCGTCATCATCTTCTTCACCAGGAACGTCTGGAAGATCTTCATCATCAAAATTTTCGTCAGCTGGAGGAGGCAGAGGGGGAGACTCGGGTGTATCACCTGCTGATGGGGATAGGAAAATGTTTAGAGCACTTTTCGACTTAGTCTTGTTAAACCAAAACTCAAATTGTGATAACAGCTAAATAGGGAAAAGAAAAATATCTCGAAGAAAGTACATTGAACAAATTTAAAAACAAACCTTCTGTGGGTTTATCTTCGCCCTCAGTTGTAACTGATTCATCTGCAGGTGGTGGCTGGGACTAAAATCACAGAGCAAACAAAAATGAAAATTACAAATTGTGAAAATTAATTAGTACTTTCATTAATTGTAGGACAGTTTTAAATTATGGTTCCTGTTCAGATTGGGATTTGGATGAAATATTTGTTACATAAACAGAAATTTTTACAAACATTCTCCGTGTGACTTACCGAAATGTCATTATGACCAAGCCTTAAAAAAATTATGATAATAATACCTGCTTGGCACCAAATTTTTCTTTGAAATTGCTCCACAATGCAGAGAAAAAGCCTTCAAAATCTGACTCCTCATATCCTCCTAGCAGCTCCTAAAAATATATACAAATCTATTAATTTAAAATTGAAAATAAACAGATGGGGAAAAGGTACCAAAACATCTGAATTAAGTTTCTCTAATTTTAACATGTTGCAGTGGCTAAGCATTACCTTGGCCTCTTCTTCACCATATTTTTTATCCAGAAGATCAGTATTAATAACCTCTTGTGCTGTCACACTACAAGAAAGACAATTCCTCTATGATTTAATTTAAAAATTGAATTATTTCTTCTGTTTAACCCTTTCACTCCCACAAGTGACCAAGACAGAATTTCTCCTCACAATATCAATACAATATTAAGCAAGCAAGTGATGAGAATAGAGAAGAATATCAATCATGGGATTATTAGTTGATCCAATACCAAATTCTCTGAACTAACATCATAAGAATTGTATGGCAGATAGTAAGGAGAAAAACTAATTAGATCTTGGGAGTGAAAGGGTTAAGAAGAGGAAAATGTGTAAATCCAGAAAGGGAAATGGAAATGGAAAGAAATGGGAAATGATATAAGGTAATTACAGTCCATCCTCATCTGTATCCAGAGCCTTGAATGAAGACTCAGCAGATGCTCTGTCCCTTTCTGCCACAATTTTCGCTTTGGTTTCTTAAAATGAAGAAAACACCAAACAAAGAGGTTATGAGTCAATCAATTAAAAGCTTCAACACCCCCCCCCCCTCCCCTGCTCACCCAGGTAACCCCCCTGGCATTTGAAAAAGATTGTTCTGATGAAATTTCCCTACCACTGGGCAAAAAAAAGTGTTAAAATGCCCCTGCTTCGAATCTATTGGTGCATCACAAGTTTACTGCATCTCCTACTCTCGAATCAGAAATTTTACACCATTGCAGTATTCACCTCATGAGTTGAACATTATAGTGTCCCTTACCTTCCCAGTCCTTCTCATGTTTATCCTTAGCTTCCTTTTCAACTGCTTCAACCTCCTCTTTTTTGACTGCCATTACACAAAAAAATATATTTACAAACCATCTCTATTGCACATAAAACGACAAATGTACCTATTCAAATATGTCAGTACCTTTCAAATTTTCAACAACAGCTTTCTTCTCCTCCAGCTGTTTCTTCAATTCTTCAAGCTTTTGCTGTGTAATAAAATGTACTGAGTCAATTTTTTCCAATAGAAAAATATTAAGTAACCAGAGCATTCTAACACACCAAGCAACTGTACCTTTCTTTCTTCTTTTTTTCCCTGACCTTGCTGACTGTAGTCTTGTTTAATAGCCAGCCCCTTAAAAAAAATCATCAAACTCCATAAATGACAGTTATTTAAAGGAAACACTGTGTATCAAGCAAAGAAATAATTCTTGCAGATGGACTGCAATTCAAGCAATTGAAGAGAAGAAGTGTGAAAAATCTTCAGCTTTTACAGGATACCAACTTGTGCCTCCCAGATGCTAGTTGGATGCCACTATCAACTGAAGTTACATGTGGGAGAAAGGAAGATTTTAGAGGGTTCGTCTTTCACATGAAGGAAACTGAATGAAAATTGCTAGTCTCACACATATATATATATAAAAAAGGTAAGGCTAAATCAGATCCTCTAGATTCTGATCCACTAACCTGCTTTGCCAGTTCAGCTTCTTCTCGCTGTTTCTGGAACAATTCTCTGTAAAGTTCCCTAAAAATGTCACAAATACATGTGCCTTTTATCAACAAGTGTGCACACTTTTCTGGCCAGTATGTTTATTTACTAGACTGACAGAAAGAAAGATAGAGAGACTGTGGACTTGAAGAGATGATGCAGACAAACAAACAGACAGACTGACAGAAAATCTGAATCCTTAGCTTATAAAATGTAGCCATGCAAACTTTCACCCAGGCAATAAATTCAGCACTGAATGAATTGGTAACAGGCTTCTCACTCTCCTTTCTCTTCTCGGCTCAAGTGAGCAATGGTCAGTGTTTGGCAAACTGAGTGCGATTCACAGAGAAAGGGTACAACTTATCTCTACTTGTAGATAAAGTTTGTTTCCAGAAAATACTTTCAGTTATGTCATGAGCTAATTACAAAAGCTTCATTACAAAAGCTTAGTCTGGGAGCAGACCCTAATTTTTTTATTAGTACTGTGGCAAGGGCATTTCTTTGCCTGCGAGAAAGTTTAAGGCCTAAGACAAAGCCAGCTAACAAGATGTCAGCAAGGGATCTGGTGCCCCATTACTAGTGCCAAATCCCTTACAGACCAATCCCTGGCTCACTTTGCTTTACCCTTTAACATCACGCATCTTATTTCACCTTATAACATCACCCCTGAATCACACGCCAAGGGCACGAGAATAAAGAAAAAGACTACCAACTTTAAATAAAAAGCTCTTGATTGAAAAACAAATTCTCTTTGTCAGTACCTTAAGAAATGTATAGAGAACAGTATGGAGAATATACATACTGATGTTAGAGTGTGAAGGGTTAAAGCCTTCAACTTACTTGTAAGCAAAGAAACACTTTTTTGATGGTACTATTAAGACGTATTTTGGTATCACTGACTGAATTGATAACGTAAATTGGCCATCTTTCAGAGTTTCAAAGCTGATGTTTTGATCGTTAGCAATTTGTTAGTCATTCACTCTGACAAAGGACTAATGCTCAAAACACCAGCTTGGAAACTCTTTATAGGGACCAATTTATGCTATCAACCAAGTTGATAATGCCAAATTACCTTGTACCTCTCCTACCCATGCAGCACCACAGTTTCTATAGAAACTTACCCCCTTTATTCATTTGGCTGATAATGATGGTGTACATGTACTTGTGGGCTAGCACAAACTTATCAAGATTTATTTACCACAAAATGACCCCACTTCGGACCTCGACCTCGACCTCTTGAAGTCTAGGGACCTTTCTAATACAAATGTAGGTCACACATAAGAACAGCAAGGAAATCTTTAAAGTAGGCTTACTTGCAAGTATTTGGACAGGTTACAGTGCCATCATATTCATCACTGCCATCACAACAGTCTGAAAAACAATTTGGAAGTTTACCCCTTAGATTCATTATTTTCATGACTGAGCATTATTAAATTAAATGTTGGCACAACACTAACAGAAGTGCATGTTTATCAAGCAAAAGGATAGCAACATACCACAAATTTCATCATTGACTCTGGAAGATGGAATATTTAAGGGCTTAAACCCAGCATTTGTACAGTGAAATTTTCCATTAGTGCAAGCTGATGTTCCTGAAAAGCATGGAATGGCAGAGTTACTACAAAGTGATTTGTGGGAAAAAGTATTGTTGAAAACCATTAGTAAGTAACTTTCATTTTACTTCTTGTTATAGAGAAATGCAAATTGTGTTGTTCTAAGTTGATTTGGTTTTAACAACTAAGTTGATAATGTAAATTGACCACCCTCGAAGAGTTTTGCTCTGATGAAGGGCTAACACAATGCGTGAAACATTGGCTTTGGAAACTCTTTATGATGGCCAATTTACATTGATCAACTCAGTTGATAAAAACAAATTACCTTATTGTAACCCCACTGATGCAGCACCACAGTTTCTTTGGAGATTTACCCTCTTTATTCATTTGTTCTAAGTTGGTTTGAAGTACATTAAGGTAAAAATACCATCAAAGCAAGGACAAGCAGCAACAACAAACTGAACCTCAGTGTGTTTATACAGATTTAGGTTTGGGAGTCAAATAGCTACGGCAGCGAGAGACAAACACTTTCACTACTGTTTCATTCTACACCCCCTAAGTGCACAGGACATTTGCAACTCACAATGGAATTACTATATACAGTTGCAATTGCACAGACCTGGTTCATCAGTGCCATCAACACAGTCACAAAAATCATCATTTACACTATTAAATGGAACAGTTGCAGATTTATCCAAGCAAGTGAAGTCCCTGGATGGATCATAAAATGCTAACCCTGAAATCACAAAAAGATAAGAGCTGTCGATCAAAATCATTTTAAGAGTCTAAAAAATGCCTTAACACTTTAAAGATGTTGCAGTTCAAACTAAAAATTTAGCTTCAGGGATGTATCTTAAATATTTCTCCCTTTTTTTATTCATAAGGACTTGAAAAGACAAAAACATTTACACTGTATCTTCTTGTTCTCTTTGACTGAAAAGCATATTCTACTTCAGTAGCAATCCACATCCGATGTGACCTCATCATGAGATAAATGATTTTGTTTCTCTTTTGAAGTGTTATTAACCACAATGACTAACCCCAACCTATTTTACAAGCAGATACTAGTCTTACTCAATATAGCATCAGACTACAATGCTCACAAGCAAACACTCCACCACCCAGAAGCAATCCATAAATAAATCATCCTTACAGTTGTAATGCAATGGCAGACAGGTGGTGAGAAATCAGAACACTATCAATGATCTGGAGGTCAAGAACAGCCAACAAAGAAATTCATCAAAGGACTTCAATGACTGTTTCTCTCCCAAGATCTCATTAGCAATTCTCCTTACTGTCTGCCATACAATACTTATGATCTTAGTTTGGAGAATTTGGTATTGGATCAACTAAGAATCGGTACATTTTTTTAAAATTTCTTCATTTGCGTGCTTGATATTGGAAGGGGAAATTCTGTCTTGGTCACTCTTGGGAGTTAAAGGGTTAAGAGAATTTGTCATTTGGTGTCAAGAATGATACGATTTAAGCATCCAAGGATACATATCTTATAAAAAAATAAATGACTACAGCGGATGGCGCCATTAATTAAAATAAAAAAAAAACTGAGGCCGGCATAATTGACCTTGTTCAATTTCATGGCGCATCGCCAACTCGACAAATTCTATGTTTTAAAAATCTAACGTGCGATAACACTGCCATTAAATCAGATTAGGCGCATGCTATAGCAATTTTTTTTGGCCACTTGCGTATCAAAAAGAGATTTAGTCTTAAGTTACTTTTTTCGTCTAGTGACTTCAGTTCACGACGTTATCTTTCCTTAATTAAACGACGCAAATTAGCAAATAAATTCATATTGGGCCGTGATCTACTTACTAGTAAGTGCCACTCCTCTTATAGTGGACGCTGTAGCTATATACAAGTTAAATAGAAAAATCGCAATTATAACTAGAGAAATTTTCCCCATTTGAGATAAGCCATGGAACGCCGCCATGTTGAATACACGTGTCGTCAGGAGACTGAGTCAACCTCGTTTCCAATCTTTGACCGCGAAGAACTGGAAAGCTGTAATACGAAATTCCCGCGAAATACAGAGCTCCGCTGTTCAAGGAGTTCGCGGGAGCTTTCTTCGTTGTGTGATTGCCAAATTTCCCGATAACGGCGTGATGAGATGGCGACGTCCGATTTTTCGGTTGTAATCACGAAAATGAAAGCTCGCCATGTCACTGCAGGATGATATTTCACAAAGGATTGTATTGAAAGGCTATGGAAGCTCCTGAAAAGCTTTCAAGCGACGAACAAAGGTGAAAAACAACTGGTTATGGGGTATCATTTTCAAGCTCGAGTACTTTATTTAGGGACAACCGTATTTTGATTTATTCCGCTCTACTTGTCCTCATTCTTGCTTGCCTTTATTTACATCTCTTGATTTCTTGCTGAGAATGTGATATTTTTAGAAAGAAGTATAGCATTACCAAGCTTTCTTTATCAATTGGAATTTTTGAACCTCTTTCAAATAAAGCAATATACACGGACAAGTACTTGAAATTTGAATTGTCCGAGATGCGTGTTTTCGTCGCGGCTAAATATCCGTCTAGCTGCTTATTTAAAAACAACTTAGTCAGTCAATCAAAAAATTTTCTACCTGCCTTTCTTTTAATGGTGTGCTTCTCAGAGAATTAGTGCATGTGTGTGCGATTGGTAATCGTCATTTGGTTAATCATAAACCGAAACGAGGTGAGGAAGTTGTAAACAATGGTTTGACCGGATCTTCACTTTTTGAACGTGTGGACTGCATCATTTTGAGCTGAATATCTATCAACTGAAGGGTGGCATGATAAATTTTTGTATGTTCTACGCTGTATTACTGTACGGTGTTTTTCAGTTTATAATCAAAGGTTATTTCACAGGTGTTAATTTACTGTTAATAAGATAAGGGGTCTCTTTGAGCTAGACAGTCTGGCTCAGTTTTTGAGATCTCACCTTGCCCCTCTTTTCTATGCAAAATATTCAGTACAAATGTGTTGAGAAGAACATATCCTTTGGTGTGGGACATTGCATTTCTTTCAAACAAAATCTGGAGTACAACAAAGGTTTCCAATTAACCCCATGCCATTCCAACTATCAAATAACAGAAATCTTGCCATGCACAGTTCGAAACAGGAAAAACTTTGAAGGTTATATGTTGTTCATCTCAGCAATGTAACAAACAATTTTACACATGAAAAGAGGACAAATGGTTTTCCCACAAATCGGTCCAACTCATGGCTAGTTGCTGAACTCAAATTAAAGAAAGAGGCAATCAGTTTGGTAATAGTAACTTTTACTTGTCCAAGCAATCCATCATCTATTTGACTGGAAGGTCATTTACAAATGCATTAGGTATGAATTGATGACCAGGAAGGAGTTTTCCTTGGTATACCGAAGCTCCTTAATTTTGAAAATAGCAAGAAGATTATGTTATTTCATCTTTCAGTGAAAGAGCTGAGAAGTTCTATGACCAGGCTCTGCTTTTAGTGGATTGCTGCAAGATCCCTGAAGCAATTAAATTGTTTGAAAAGGTTTGTGGCTTTCACATTTAAATGAGCTGACTTCTGAATGAAAGTTATCTGTATTCAGGTCAAGTTAGACTTCACCCTTTCCATCCCATCTGAATTTTCTTGTTATCATTCTCCTTGAGATCAAGTTAGCAAACTCACATGATCTGTAGACACTGAACTTTGTATATCAAATCATCATCTCTCTGGGATCTTTGCCAAGCTGACTTAACCCTTGAACCTTAATTGTGATCAGAATGTACTGTAACTTCCTGTTACAATTTGATACATTATCTAGCAAATTGGTAAGGTGAAGAGACTAAAAGATCAGCTGTAGGATCTCATGTTAACCCTTGTACCCTTACATCAGTATGCATATTCTCCATACTGTTCTCTATACATTACCTAATGTGAGGACAAGGAGAATTTGTTGAACAATCAAGAGCCTCTATGGTTGGGAATCATATCCTTTATTTTCTTGACCTAAGTGTGTGATTTAAGGGTGATATTGTGAGGAGAAATTAGGTGTTTATCGCTCTTATGGTTCAAGGTGTTTATGTTAGAGTAACACCATATTCAGTTCATCAATAATCCAGAGGGAAATATAAATTGTGTGGCAGTCAAGACTAGAGGGTTTGAAGTCATACATGTATCTTGTTAGTCAAAGTGTTGATGACCAGTCTATACTTGTTTACTTTCATCCATTAAATAGTTTATCTCTCTTCCTGTTCAAAGATATATGCACATACAATTTGAAATGTTTTTCACTGCAGGCCTGTCAGCTCAAACCTGGCTGTGAAGTCTACAAGGAAACACTGGATTTCTTTCAGGCAAAAGCAGATCTTTTAGACAACAAACAACAAGGATTAAGCTATGCCAGTGTCTCCAGGCCAAAACCAAGCTGTGGGAAAGCAGAACAGAAAAGTTATTCTGCTGAATGGAATGTAAAGAAGGCAAGAGGCAAAGTGCCAGAGGTTTCAACTTGTTATTACAGCCATGCTGATGAGCAGGCTACTATTGACAATCCATGGGCTTCCTATGTGAGCAGAAGTCATCGAAAGAGGAGTACTCCAAGCAGCCCAATTGATGGTCTTACTGAGATTGATCTTCCTCAGATGAGTGAGAACATGTGGTACAGTTCTGGAAGTCAAAGTTTGAAACAAGACTATGATCGCCAAGATCGGGATGAAGTTGACAGTTTTTTCAGTTCATCGCTAAACACACCCATCAGTTCACAGGAAGCATTGAATGAGGATAGCAGTGTTTGTGATCATAAACAGGAAAATCACAGTGATGACACAGTTGATGCTTTCGTTAACCAGAGGGAAGAATGCCCAGAGGAGTGTTATGAAGACAGTGGCAACTACGAGGAAGATGTAGATTCAAGATTTCTTGATGAATTATGTGCAGCACGAGAAACATTTTTAGATGACTGGGCTAAATACTATGATGTGTTAAATAGGGATTTGAAAGAAGAGTCACCATGCTCTGAATCAGGTGTTTTAAATCAGGGTGTTTCCACACCTTTGGAATATTCTGACAGTTTTGATGATGCAAAGAGTATTAAGGATAAGAAAAAGATAAATCACTCAGGGAAAGAAAAATCAAATTCTGAGAAACCTGAATCTAAGATCAGCTGTGATGTATGTGCAAATTGTGGGCAACCAAAGGAAGGCAGAACTCAACCTTGTAATACACCAAAAAACAGAATTCATTTTGTAAATGGTACCTGCATTTCTAGTGCTAATTCACCTATAAGTAATTGTACTTGTAACAGGAAACATTCAGTGAAGGGTGTTTTTAAAGGAAAATCTGGAAAGACACCCCTTTCTACTTCACAGCAAGAGTTTTATCAAAACCTTCAGAACTACTTTGGCAGTGGAGCAGTTAAGAGTGTGAAGACAGATTCTAAAGTAAAGAAAGAAAGTTCCTCTGGTGGTATGGATGCAAATTGTGCCACAAACTTAAATATGTCATCCTTAAGCAATGAACCATCAAAGGTTAAATCTAGTCAGAATGTTGCAGAAAGTAATGAGTGTAATGCAAAAGCTAGTAAACACTCTGATGACTTTGCTTCAAAGGAACAATTGACTGATGGGGTTGAAGGTTTGAGGTCATCGTTCAGTGAAGATGGAGTGGTGAAAGACAAGACGTCATTTGATGAGGGTAGATTTCACCAGGAAAGCTTCAGTGAAGGACGGAAGGTGGGTGACAATGTTGACAATAACACCAAGGCCACAGTTAACACAGAACATGTTAAGAGTTCAAAGGAAAGAACTGATTCTCACTGGCGATCACGGTTTAAGGCTGGTGTGAAATCTAAAGTCAGTCACAGGGCAAAGAGTATAGATCCCACTGAAACAAGGAAGCCTTCAAATGCACATGTCAAAGAGAGATCAAGATTGAAACCAAGGACAGAGAGAACTGTTCATGCAGAGTTTGACTTGTCTAAGCTTACATCTGGTCTTTATTGCACAGGTATTTTTGTTCAGTTTTCTTTCTATCATCCCCTCTTACCTTAATTCCTTCTGTCTTACTTTCCCCTTTTTCTCTTTTCTCTGTTCCTCATTCTGTCCTTTCCCACCATTCTTTTTTACTTCTTTCCTCACACTCTCCCTAGTTGGTCCCTTACCTTCTTATTTTTTGTCTCTCTCTCTCTCTCTCTCTCTCTCTCTCTCTTCTGTCTTACTCTCTTCATCCTTCCATCCTTGCACTCTTCCTTCCTTACAATCTGCCCTACTTCTTTCCTCTCACCCCCAGCCATTCCTGCTTTACCTCCCTCCATTCTTTGTTCTTCCTTCAGCACTCCCATTTTCTTTCCTTCCATCACTCTTCCTTCTGTTCTTCTTTCATTCCCTTGTTATATCATTCTGTCTTCACTTTGTTCTTTGTTCTTTATTCTTAATGTGTAATTTGCCATATTTTGATATTTCTATGCTGTCTTTAAGGTGTAGCAGTTTTAAGTAAGAGTGGTCAAGCAGTGAAGTCTATTTTCTACTATGTTCTACTCCTTCTGGCTTTGCTTTTTGGCTTTTTCATTTATTGGTGAGTGGAAAGTTTGGTCTCTAAAAGATCTGTTCTAAAACCTGTGAATATTACCCCTACACCTATTTCTTCTTTGCATGGAGGTACCAATCATTATAATTGGAAATGTAAAGCTAACTGGGTTGTTTCTGTTTATTTTTTTTTCACTCTAGCTCTTGGTTTGCTGGCTGTTGGGCATGCAGGAGAACATTGTCTTTTGTTCCAGTGGGCAGATGGTTGGCTGAGGGAAGAAAGAAACTGTCAACTTTATTTGAATTCCGTCGGAAACAGAGAGAAAGAAGAAGCACATACTCAGATGGGCAAACTTACGATCTTCCCAAGAACGGTAATTTATAACAAGATTTATGAATTTTTCTTCTCTAATTATTTCAGTCCATTGTGCTCTGGGCAACAAGGTCAATTTCTCATCCTCTTGGTCACTTTTTGTGTGTTTTTGTTTGCTTGTTTGTTATAATTTGTAGGAGATGCCGCAGTGATGCACATGTTGCAAAACAAAGACAGTGATCCCTACAGGTTGGTACAGGAGTGCTACATTAAAATTATATTTATAAGAACTTTTTTTTAATATTAGAAAATAATGCCTTTGATCAGTGCATAGGATATTGTTTTTTTTTTCTCTCCTTCTGGAATGGAGCACATATTATGCAAAGTTAACCCTTTAACTCCTAGGAGTGATTGACAAGTAACTTCTCCCTATAATATTCATACATTATCCAGCATTTGGTAACGAGAAAACTTGAAGTTATCAGTTTAGAAGAAGTTGTTATCTTGATGTAACCCCAAATTCTTGTGCTCAATTCACAAGTAAATGTGAAATGCTAGTGGGGAGAATTAACCACCAGATCATGGGAGTTGAAGGGTTAACATCTCATCAAGCCAAATAATATTTGATATATATTTATTTTAACATGTATAATAAACACAATTTTGAAGGCCCAGGCACACTGAGGTGGCCTTAAACTGGGCTAAACTCACATCACATTATCATGTGATTGTGATGTCACTTAAGCTTAGATGACATCACTTCCTGTCACACGCCTTGCATGCATGTGTTGCATGATATTGCATCATACATTACATTACAATACTCAATTAATAAAGGAACAATGCTTTTGATAAACACAAAAGTAAAATGAGACTGGCATGTTTAGAATTCTCTGTGAGCTGATCATGGGTGATTTACATAGAATAATGATCTTCCAGTAATTTTTTGATATTCATTTTTTGTACGTAGTGTCCTTGGAGTGCCACGAGACGCAACAGATGATGACATCAGGAAGCAATATAGGAAGTTAGCTGTACTGATCCATCCAGACAAGGTACAATGAGTTTGTTTACAAGAGCTGGCCAAAACTTGCCATACAACTCAAAAATGGCTCACAGTGTAAAAGGCTTGTTGTTACGGTGCAAAAAAACAAAAAAAAAAAGAGAAAAAAATTTAACATTAAGGCCTACAAAGAATGAAGTTGTGATTGATAATAATAATATTATAATAATACAAAAATTTCTATAGCAGCCTATTCTAGAGCTCTAAGGCACTTTACAATAAAATGTTTAAAGCAGTAACTTAATAAATATTAAATTCGAAAAATACTAGAGCAAAACTACAAATAAAAATAACGCTTAAAAAGATAAATTTTAAGGTTGCTCTTAAAAGATGTAAGCCCCAGTTGATCTTAGCCCCAGTCGTATTTATGTACCTCAAATAAAAATTAGGAAAAGAGGTGTTATTTAATGGTATTTCTTCCTCCTCATTTTGTTTTTTATAAAGAATACCCACCCACAAGCAGACGAGGCTTTCAAGACTCTTGCCAATGCTTTCGACATTCTAAGTGATCCTGTAAGTTGACAATTGTTCATGTATTCACTTGCTATTAACAGTTAGTTATTGAATGAGTTTGTTTAAATATATATGCTGCTCATTTGTTTAATATTCACATCTTTTAAATAGGAGAAGCGTGCCAATTATGATGCCGAAGCAGCTTGGAGGACGAGAGCGGAAGAAAGGGTGAGTTAAGTTTGTAAAATCAGTGTAGAAAGGTCCAAACTTAAGAATCAATTTTCCTTTTCTTGTGGAGACGGAAGAGGTTCCAGGATAAACCGTAAAACCTGCCTGAAGATCTCTTGAAACGAGAGAAAATAATAACAAAATGTGGATTTAAAGGATAAAAACGGATTAAAAGCCGCGCAAAACCAAAAACGACCGCTGAGATGATGAAGCCTGGGGACTAGACAAATGCAAACAAATACAGAATAAGTTTACCTTTTATAAAAACCAAATTTCAAAGAAGGGCGGAAATGATTGTTGAAAATGGATAAAAACTAGCGATTTTGATTATGAAAGCCAGATCCAAAATCCCCATTTTTTCGTAAATGCATGGAGAGCAGCATTTGTTAGACTAGTTCCCAGGTTACGTCAATGAGTTCCCTGGACCCTACGAGAATCAGGCGACAAAAATTGTACGACTTTTTGTACAGTTTGTTTAAAATTTTTAACAGGGATTTTTTTTCCCTTTTTGCTGGATATTTCTTGTAGAAGGAGCGTTACGGTGGGCACACGAGTCCAGAACAGTTTTTTGCCGATTTAGGGAAAAAGATGGAAGAGGTAAGTAAATTTTTCCACAGAGAGATTTTATTATTAAAGAGCCGCAAACTTGGGAAGAAGAAAAGTAAATCCGAGGTGGAGCGAAAAACGAGGGAAGTCTGGGTCGAGTCGCGTCGCGTCGCGTTTAGCGAACTGAGCGCCCGGAATCGAACCTCAGACCTTCGCAACTCTCGACCCAGTGCTTTTTTCACTGAGCTTCAGAGAATGTTTCTTGACAACGGAGCAAACACTTAACCTCTTCACTACCACCAAAAGGTTAACAGGTGGTTTCTTCCTACAATATCAATATGCTATCCAGTGAGGAGGTGGTGATAAAGCAATCTTCAATCGTGCATCAATCCTCTCTCCAGCAAACAGGTGAAGACAGAGCAATTTTCAATTCAGTGTCGGAAGAAATCAGGAATTACTGTGTTATGGCTTTCTTCGCTTTGTGATTGGTCGTGAAAACTTGCGCCATCCTCCAAACCAATCAGGCGCAAAACAAAGGCATTTGTGACTTGCTCACCAGCGTTTTCCCGCGCTTTTAGTAGCTTACCTATACTGTTTTTACTTCGAGCTCTCATTGGCTAAAGATAATGTTAACCTTAGTAGTGATTGGTCGTTGTGATTACTTTGGTTTTGGTTTATCGACTGCTCAATTGAAAACAGCTCAAATAGACAAACTCATGAGCTGAATTGCGTAGTCTTGATGTAACACTAAACTCTCGTAACTTATTTAGAAGGGAATGTAAAGTAGCAGGAAAGGAGAATTACTCAGCAGATTTTTGAGGCTAGGTAGTGAATACCACATTGACGTAATTTCCTTTTTGTTAAAACAGATGCATAATTCTCTACATTGTAACGTGTGTGATGGGAAACACCGTCGCTACAACACAAAGCGGTTTATTTTGACAGCTCGCTTCTGTAGTCGCTGCAACACAAGACACGCTGCTAAAGAGGTACTTGCACACGTTTGAAGGCTTACGGCGAAGGCTCTGCTAATATGAAGGTTAATTTAAAGCTCTTTCAATTGGAGGACGGGATGAATTTTGTTTTGCTTTATTGCGCTCTCTGATTGGTCAAAGAAACCCGCGCACTCTTTGTACCAATCAGATGTAAAATATAACCCATCCATATTTTCCTGCGCTCGAGGTTGTTTAGTTCTCACTGGCTATGTTAATTATTTAAGTTTTAGCGTTACGTTACGCAAAGCGCTCTAATGGACGGGAGAGAGGGGAGGGTGGGTATGGCACGTAAAAATTTACAAATTTCTTTTAATTTTTTTATCAGGGAGATCTGTGGGCAGAGAGTAGTTTTCTTGGCTACAAACTGCACTTTTATGCCTGTATGGAGGGTGAAATATTTGATGTCACTGAGTGGGCGGCTTGTCAGGTTTGCATCTGGTTTTATCTTAATTAGCCGAACGACTAGCTAGTTATACTGCACAATAGCGATGGATTTCCGAGCTGCTGTGTTCGAATTCGGTTAAAAGTGATAACAGAGGGGTGGGAAAGTAAGGAAAGTTAATTTCTTCACCCCGCCCCCCACCTGGGGGGGGGGGGTAGGGCCACGTCCTCCTAGTCGATATGTTTATCGTAATTATTTAAGTCGAGTCTTTTCTTTGTTATAATTTTTTTTTCGTTTGTTTTACGTGAGCAGGGTATTGGTCGAGTGGAGGCCAATCCTCACACGGTCCATCTGAAGCTCAAGACCCGTCAGACACAACAAAGCAGCTTCAATTCTAGGTTTGTCTTTCAGTTTGATATCTGTCTTGCTATATTGACTTTACGATAACGTGATCGGTCTGTAACAACTAGGCACCAAAAGAAGGTCGAATTACCAGAGACTGATTTGAAATGCTTGTCTTGTTTGATTGCAGATCGGAAGAAAGGGAGTTTGAGAATTTCATGCGTGCGTTCTTCGGGCAGTTTGGCCCTGAAGGAGACAAATTTCAGGGAGCCAACAAGCAACGAAAGAAGAAGAAAAAGAAGAAACATTAGTAATGTTAGCGTGGGTAGAGGTTACAGATTGCTAGGAGATCGATCCGGATCTACCTAGTGGTGTTCGACGTATCCCTACGTATGATTGGGGAAAGTTTGAGTGTGGCTTGATCAAAGTACTTAGGTAATTCTGTGTAGTTTTCTTAATTACAGTATTCTCCATTTGAATATCGAAAATAATCAGGGTTTCCAATGGTTTCGCCTCATGGTGCTCTGTGATTGGTTTAGAAAGCTCGCGCCACCCTCCCAACCAATCAGATACAACTTTAACCAATCACGACTTGGTCACACGCATTTTCCCGCGCTTCGGGGAGTTTTCTTGTTTTTACCGTTTTTGTGTTCCTATTGGCTAATTGTGACGTTTTCTCTTTTTCTGATTTGACCCTGTAATTACCATGGTGTTCATTTCATGTCTCTCGATCGACATGCACTGAAATCTGATTTTCTAAGAAAATTCTGTGACCAGTTCGTCATTGCTGAAGTTACCCTTAGTAACACTCCTCAACCTCGTCTCTTTATCTTTCCAACTTCCAGAAGTGATAAACATTTAACTTCTCCCAAAAATATCCATATATTTTTCATCAAACAGCTACTAAGAATACTCAAACTTTTCAGGTAGAATTTGTTATCATGATCTAACACGAAATTCCCATGACTCATTTATAAAGAAATATGGAGCAGCTAGAGGGGATAATTGGGAGTGAAAGGGTTAATTTGGCGGAAATTATCAGGTTTTGTTAAATTATTCCCTATCACTGCATGAAACACGAAATACAGCTTTTAAAAAATCAGCAAAATCATGGAGAAATGAAAGGCTGCCGTTAAGAAGAAACAGATCAAACTGTAACGGATAGTTGTAAGAGTCCGATGAAAAAGACTCTTACAAGTTGTGTATCTGATAAATTAGAGATTATGCTATAAGTTTAAATTTAAAAAAACTATATTTTTTCGAGTTAAATCCTATTCATATCAGTTTGAAGATATCGTCACGTTACGCTTTCAAAGAGATGTCTTAGCTTAAGTCAAGGCGTCAATAAACATTTTTGCGAATTATTTTCCTGCGTGTTCTGTCTTCTCGGACCCAGTCTCTCGTTTGAGAGGCCTCTGAGTAGAATCCCAATCCCTCTGCTTTATATCGGTGTATAATGCAAAGCTTTGAATGAAAAGTCCTTGTTTTAAGGTGTGGTTGGGGGGGGGGGGGGTTGGAACTCGGAAATGGCTCTAGTTTCTTTGTAACAAAGTGGCATTTGCGTAACCCGTCAAGACATTGCAAAGGAGAAAGTAAGACAAAAACTGAAATTCAGTTTAGAACTCCAATACATTCTCTTTAATGGAAAAACTAGAAATAAGCCTCTCCAAGCCTCTTTTCTTCGTCACACGTTAATTTTGCAGTTCTTAGAATCATTTTACAAAAGCAATTATTAAAGGAACATTTAGTTGTAACAACTTAGTTCGGCGGCCAATTTACACTATGAACTCAGTTGATACACCCCAAATTTCTTTCTTCCATACTCTCCCCCCCCCTCCAAGTTTATTTAATAAAATGTTAAAGCAATATGTGTTGCATTTTGCAATGAAAAAACGTCAAAATGTAATCCCTAGAAAAGTTGTATTTCGAAGGAAAAGAAACCCGTCCCAGTAAATAATTGTTTACGAAACACGTAGTCATTGGGCGTGCGTCTTCATATGTTAATGATGTAGAAAATAATTATATGCAAAAAAAATCTTGATAAACAGTTAAACAATATGATTATTAAATCTGCGAAAATTGAATTTTCAGCTTGAAAAAAAATCTTACAATTCATCCTTAGGTAACAAAACGAAGACTGTACAGTTGTTGAGAAAAAGCCAACAAAGTTTTCGCTTTAATTAAAGGTAGTAACTGAGGTGTTACTGACCACATCGAAACAAAGCATGGGCACGTCATTAAAAGAGCTACGTCAGGCCACTGAGTGTCTTGCAAAAATTTTTCCTGAATTCTTCATGTTTATCATTTGCAATCCTTTCCAACCTTCCTAACCGTTTGCCATCCTTTTTCCTCCTTGGTTATAATTGCCTCTTGTATGTTTTTCTATCTTACCAAGGTAATATTTTCTCTCTCTCTCTCTGAACGAGTTATTATTTTATGTCCTTTGAGAATGCGAACTATTTTTTTTTCTTTTTTGGCGACGTAGCTCTTTTAAGTTTCACTTAGAAACACGAAGGTCACTTTGTAACTCTAGTCTTAGTGCTTACGAAAGTACTGTGAGAATAATTCGTCCTTTGGTCCTTTTTAGCATGGCTACGGCAGATTCATGGGCGACTCCAACAAGACTCTCTCCATTCACAGCAATAATCTGATCACCGCGTTTGAGTCGCCCATCTCGGGCCGCAGCGCCAGTCGGGAAGACGGTTTTGACGTAGATTGGCAGGTCACCGTGTGGACTCCCATGACCACCCACGATACTGAAACCCAGGCCTTCGGGACCGCGTTCTAATTCAATAATCTTCGCTTCTAGTGGCCTGGAAAAAGAAACAAAACAAAACAAAACAAAACAAGACAGCAAGTTCAAACAATTAATTTGAAACAAAGTAGAGGTGTTCGGTGAGGAAAAACCAAGGTGCCATAGTTTGGGCTGGAAGCTTCCTCATCGCGCAAAATCTTTTCCTTATATCTTCACGTATTGTGACTGAATCCGTTGACGGGAAGTTAGCTCAAAATGATTCAAATGCTATTGAATTTTGTGCACGATCAGGTCCAAAAAAACTTAACAAAGAGATCTGATTGCTTTCGTGGACATACCTCTATGTGTAGGAGTGCATCCCGATTTTTAATCTTAATTTTCTAAGCAACATAGTGTTTATTATTTTCGTGAGCAGCTCGGAGAATTCTTGTGTGCCAAAAAGAGGCGAGCGCTAAGACGACTATTTACCGAAAAGGCCACCTGTCTCCGCGACTGAATTCATGATTTGTGAATCCTCCAAAGCTTTAACAAAACTTACTTATTACCAGACTTAAATACTTCACTCACATTTCTTCTCCTTCCTCGTCAGAGTGAACTAGTTCAATAGCCTCCTGCACCATTGAAGAACTCGGAGGCAGACCGACCGGAGGGAGACCGGAACCTGATGAGGGGCCAACTTCTTGCTGTTCAAAATCTGAAGAGTACAAACAGAATAAATCAACAAAAGCTTATCTCAAGTCTACCTTCGAAGCAAACGCACCTTGCATTAGGGACTCCGCCCTGTGATTGGTCTACAAAACTCACGCCACCCTCTCGGCCAATCAAATGCAAGACTAAAACCAAAGTGATTGGCTCATTCCCGTTTTCCCGCACTTCGACCAGTTTGCTTCTTTTCACTTCAAGATCTAATTGGCTCCTTGCGTTATTTTCCTTTGTTCTGATTAGCCCACAGATATTTGACAACAGTTAACTCACCGAGTGGGATTTGAACCGCAATATTTTCCATGCTGCTCAGGGATTCGGTCCCAGGCTGCATGTTTGGTAAACTGCTCATGGAGGACGGCCTAGAACTGGTGCCGTGCTTCAGACGAGCCACCTCAAGAATAACACGGCCAGAAGTGCGCTGAGGGGACAAAATATATGTGACAGACTTTATAAGGGTAGCAGTAGTATTTGAATCTAACTAACCACGTACGTTTTAGAGGAGAACATTACAAGGGACGGCAACGAGAAGGTGGTCAAACAAATTGTTTATGAGGTGCCCGAGCTACGCAAATAATACCATGGAATCACCTAATTGTGCACAAACTGAAAACAGAAAATCCAAAGGCAATTATTCGCAATTCTGCTTCGAATTATGTGTTCCAAAAAAGGGAAAATTTAGCGTCGTTAGAGACGTTTAACACATGAAAAATTAACTTAACTGGTGAAAAACTTAGGAGAAACGAAGGTCCCTTTTTTTTATTAATGCTTTCACAGGGTTCGCCGTCATTACATGTTAAACTCCCTTGTAACTAAGAACAAGGGTGGGGTGAGCAAGGAGATGAGCGCATCTCCTCTCCTTCCCCTTCCCTGCAGCGACCAACACTCCGTAGACAATTATTTCTTTCCGCGATATTCCTCTGGTTTGTAAAATGGCAGCCACAGATTTGGCAAAGAAGTAACAGTCAGCGTAAAAACAATCTCTTAAGCTTCGCTAGTGTGTCATATATTGACCACTGGCCACAGACAAGCCATGTTTTACCTTGAGCGCAGCCGCTGCTACATCCTGAGTGGCGTTCTTAAGATCCTCACCGTTGACCGAGAGGATCTGGTCACCAGCTTGAAGACGACCGTCTGCCTCTGCGATACCACCTTTCACCTGTCAATCAAAGTTGGGATCAGTTAATAAAACTGCATTTAATAAGACTAGGCAAGAAAACCAAGGTCAACGGTTGCAAAAGCTGATCTGGCTCGTCAGAAATATCTGAAAAGCACAGATTTATCATCGTCTTGTCATTGTTTTCGTTATAATTACCTATAAGCGAAGGAATATGCAAAAGAATGCGATCGAAGAAGCAAGATATATCATTTTCTTTTGAAGAATGCATTTTACAGCTGCCTATATTCATGAATGATACCAGCCAGTAGACTCTTCTGATTACGAACGCTTCCGTCTGTTTTCGAATGGTTTCGTCCAATTTCGGTCAGTTCCGTCTATTTCGGTCAGTTTCGGTCAGTTTCGTCCAATTTCGGTCAGTTTCGTCTGTTTTCGGACGGTTTCGTCCAACTTCGGTGAGTAAATTTGTTTGATTTCGAAGGTTTTCAGTCAAGACGACATCCCGATAAAACGGCAAGCTGGTAACTCACTCGACAAGGTAAAGCAAAATCAATGCACATCGCAACTTACCACGTCTGAAACAAATACTCCCGTGTCGTTCCTGTGAGGAAAAAAAAAACGAAAAAAGAGAATCGCTTTAAAAAAATTATTTCAGCTTCGGGACCCATTCATACTCCTAGGTGGAGAAAAGCACTGTGAATGTTTTACAAAAACACCTACCTAAGAATAAAACAGAGAAAGACCGCAAATTTACAACCTACCTTCTTCCCACGATACTCAGACCTAGTCCCTGGCCGGGAACTTTGTTCAAGTCGAGCGTGATGTACTCGAAGGCTTCTGTGAAAGAACAAACATAGCGGCTATTAAAATGATATAGAAAGTAGCTTTTATACCTCAGTAGCAGGCTTCTCATCAGTAGATATTCATAAATTGCATAAAAATGAGAGAACATTTTCAGGTTATCACTTCTTTAAGAGGAAATGTTGTGATCTGAGAAATTTTTGTATAGTTTTCGCATATAACATTTACCCATTTGTAAAATGAATTAATTTTGTCTACCTTAACTAACCTGTTTTCTATCGATTTAATTTTTTCAACTATCTAAAGTTTGTCTCCAAAATTAGAGAGCATAATGGTCTTTCTTATTTATTAAAGCCACGTTCAAATCGGGAAAATTATAAAAAAATAAAGAGACATGGCTGAAAACGTGCAAGATACCTTCATCTTTAAACTGTGATTCGTCCCTTAAAACAGCCAATCTAACGACAGCAGGTGTTTGTCTCAACGCTGTGATGGCCATATCGTGAGTGGCTTCTCGCAGATCCACATAATTGACCTAAAAGTGACAACAGAACCAACATACGTGATAGGCTTACCTCAGCTCAATGCGAGGGAAGGATTTATGAGTAAATTGAATCTGGTTGATTAAGATGTCTCAGCAAGCAAGCAAGATCACAATAAAAATTTCCCCTCCTTCTTTCTCTCTTCAACTAGTTCATATATCACTAGAAAATCCGCAGATTTTCAACGCTGCAAAATAGGTGGAGTGAAAATAGAACTCGACTAATCAGGAGCGCGCCTAGAAAAAGAGGAACTCTTTTCGTCTGTGCGCGCGTGTTTCGTTTACGTGCTCACTTATGAACGTACAGTCTTTTCATGAGTACGTCGGCTAGAGCTTTTCCTTAGGGTTCCTAGTCTGCTCTCACTGACGCTACGACTTTTTTATTGGAACAAATACAGAACAAATGAAACACATAACTACAAAGATCGATAATCTTACTTCTAAGATCTGATCTCCAGCCCAAAGTCGGCCATCTTTAGCTGCGGCTCCGTCTTCATACACTTCATGAATGACTATGGCACCCTGAGAAAAAACTTCAAACTTTTAAACCTGTGGTAATAAGGCACACTGTAAATCTTCATAACACCACAATGTTGTTCTTCTAGCATGACTCACCAACAGAGTATCCGCGCCTCCAACGATACTCAGCCCCAGGCCTGTGTTGCCTTTGGGAATCTCTATCACACATTCCTGACCGGGAATGATCGGCGCAGTGCGGGGATTTGGAGACGAGATTAACGTTGGTGTAACTACTGCGTAAAAAAGGCAATAGGCCAGTGAGTTACTTAGTCTATCAGTAAGTCAGCCAATAAGTGTTACAAAAGTCATTACAAAGATGTCAAAATTAAAATGCCAATGACACTGTAGAAGGTGAAAGTGCACGTAACTCCTCCAGGTAGTTTACAGTCCCCCTACTCAAATAGCCACAAACATTTGAGCCAAACCAAACTTTACAGGATTAAAAGCCCCAACTAGCAAAAGGAAAAGCAGATGGCTATTTACAAGCCACAAACACGATTCTCCAGCTGAAGATTGGGTAGAAATTGCTTCCTGACAGTCTCTTCGCAAGATGTTTGCTGTTCACGAATGTAGAAGAACCTACCTGCTGCTTGTCTAGGAGACTGTTGAACAACCTGAACTTCAGGCTCAAATGCTTGGGACTGCTCAGGCTCTCTTCTTGATGCTGCAGGACTACCGCTCTGGCCATTTCCGGTCTGTACAATTTCTGCTGGCACTCTCTCAAGGCTCCATTGTTTTCTTGGACTTCCTGGATTGCTGCTGTCTGACATTGAATCCCTGGCTGGTTTCGTAGCAACAGGAGGGCCTCTCCTTGGTGTACGGGGACTTCCGGTCTCCCTCCTGGGTGATGAATTGGCGGAAGTTGATTTTTCTGCTCCTGGTGAACCTCCGGGTGGAGTTTGTTTCCTAGCAACCACAAGAGACACCTTTCCTTTGGTTCTCTTCAATATGGCAACGGCCTGCAACAAGAATGTCGAGAGATCTCAATATCAATTCTCCTAACTATCTCCCAAAAATTTTTAGCTTTGAGATTTTGGTGTTAAATCAAACGGTAATGCCTCCACATAATCTTCATGAGATATCGTCACAGCTGACCTTAATAATGACCTTGCTCACCATTGAGTGCTCTGAAGCTCAGTGGTAGAGCGCGGAATCCAAAGGTTTGGGTTCGATTCTTTATGAGAATTACGAAAACTTCCGTTATCCTCATACCTCTTAGCCATGAAGTAAAACTAGGGGTTCTCGTTTTTGTTTCTGATGTTATTGTTGATACGGCTACATTTTCTCCCTGAAGCTTTGACAGACAGCATTTTACACAGCTTACCTCAGCATGAGAAAGTCCCACAATTGGTTGATTATCCACTGCAATCAACTGGTCTCCTTTTTTCAGTCGCCCGTCCTGGCAAGAAGCAAAACACACCTTAAAAAATGTACTTACCACTAACCCCTACTCCAAAAGACATAAAAACTTCTGAGCCCGTAATGAAAGAGCCAGAAGATAGCCACTCATGAACATGACGTCATTAAATAGGCCCTGACTCACAAAACATTCAACATAAGGTCTCTACACAGAAGAGATTAGGAACCTTTTGGGCAGGTCCTCCGTCAGTAATGTCCTTGACATAAATCCCTGTTTGGCCTCCACCAAATCCTGGGCCTTCCACAACAGCAAATCCAAGACCAGTTGGGCTCTGCCGAGAAAAAGAAGAGAAAATAACACCTCATCCAAATGCTTTACCATGAGAATTAACAGCTGCACAAGACCTTTCCATCCCAATCAGCCAATCTCACGAATGAAATTCGTCACTGACATACCTTAACAAAGTCAATGCGTTCTACTTTCTGACCCCCAGACAGTTCTTGTAAAAGGGTTGGTGACACGGTAATACCCTCTGCAACCGGCGGAGGACTCGAGCGCGGACTAGGCTCTGATCGTCGTGGACTTTCGATCTCACGCCTCGGTGTTGTCGGAGATGACTCGATGGAGTGGATATTGAGTTGTTTTGCTTCCTGTTCGGGCCACTGTTGGCCTCGGGGAGATTCATGAGCCGGCGGTGTCCTGGATCGACTGAGGTAATCAGCGGCTTCTTGGGACCTGCCTAATACGAGGTTGACTTTAGGTGGCGTGTTCTGTCGGTTGATAAGAAAGAGGAATTAGAATCTTAATATTAAAGTCTGCATACGACACTGAGAAAATGAAGGGTTGATAAGTTAAATGTTTCAAAAACAAGCTCTGACTTACTTTCAGAATCGTAGAGGCCTCGTAATGAGTCAAGCCCCGAATGGAGACTTCATTCACTTCAAGGATCTCGTCAGCTTGTTTAATTTGTCCATTTCTCTCCGCCGGCCCGCCTGGTTTGACATCTACGACGAAAATGCGATTTGCCGCTGCACCTTTTCCGCCCGCGATACTCAGACCTTATAAGTAAACAAAAAAAAAACGAAACAGTTACAATCGTCATTAAACTAGGGAGAAATCCAATGGGAACTGAACAAACCTCAGAATATGGCCTGCTCCACGGACGCTTTGGGTGAGAATTCAAAGAGGTCAAAAAACACGCACAAAAGAGCAGACACGCGTGTCTGCTAAACTTGCATCCGCCGATCTTAAACTTACCTAATCCAGTTCCCCCTTTAACCAGATCCACAAAGATAAAGTCACCAGTAACGTCCGGGTACTTGATTTTCAGTTGCCCTGGGTACGAAATATAGCAAGTGAATTGTGAAGAATTAACAACCAGGATATTTCCGACTTCACTTCGCATGTTACTTATAAGTGGTAGCTTCACTTACTTTTCCTGTCCTCGTTGCTCCTGACAATATTAAACTTGGTCGGCAGGTTCAAAAGTTTGCTTTCAATTTCTGCCTTCACTCCCTCAGCCTGAACAACGCTCGCAGTTGGTTCCTCAGCTGCTAGATTCTTCGTTGGAATTGGGATGTCTTTCTTCAACGACTCGTCTGATGATAGATCGGCAGCCTCGGCTGAGGGCCTGGCACTGGTAACGGTCACATTACTGGGTTCCGCCTGAAATCATGAAATTGTATTAATTAGCAAACCAGTTCCCATCCTCCCCCCCCCCCCTCCCACCCGAATCTCAGATGGTTTTAAAAGAGACAGGAGGGCCTCTACGCAGAAGTCGTACTGGGCTTTGTGAGGTATATTTTGTTACTGTTTAACGGACAGAACGTACAAATTTCGATTTCATTGTTTGCTTAACAAAATGTCCAACAGACCCAGAACAACTGCTTTGCCAGAAAAATCCTATACACAAAACTTAAGAACAAAAATTGATTTAAAGGTTCCCTTGAAGCTTGGCAAGATTCACATAAAAAAATACGAACCATGAAAATCTTGCGTTCTCAAACAAAAACAATGCAATTCACAAAACGACCTTGAAATGAAATGTCATTAATAAACGTAAATGTCCATAAATGTTGTTACCTCAGATGTGTAACCTCTGGCGAGGGTTAAACCTTTCGATTTACGAAAGCGAAACGGCATTTCCAAAAAATGAAAATCACTAAAAACCAGCTTATCCTTGCAACTCACAGTAAGAACCAACGGTTACGTGTTCTATCCGAAATATTATTCTAATCTCTACTAAAATCTTAAGAGCCTTGCGTCTTGTCAAAAAATTGTCGTGAATGATGATAATCTTCGCCGAAGAGAAATTGTTTTCGATACAGCGCTTCCTCCATCGATACGAAGAATGCTTATCCAACACAAGAAGTACAGAGCCTTAAGCTGAGTGCGAGCTTTCCACGCGAAAACTCCTTCCAGTCTGTGGAATGTAATGCTCATCGGAAGCAGATTTATCTCATAAGTGGCTTAGCCTTTGTATTCAGCATTGCGAAATTCACGATAACATTAACAATGGCGATATTCGTACAAAAAATCGCATTGTTTTCTTCTCCAGCATTAAGAAATTTATAATGAAAAGCGTAACTCTCCAATTAGAAAATTGAATCGCAATCAATACAAAGAATTAATTAATTATTAAGAATGTTTGGGCTGTCACGACTACGAAACAATATTTGGCGAAGTATTTTGTATTTATACACCTGGGAATTTTAGCGGTTTTTAAAAAAAGTCTTTTAAGATGTTTTGGTGCTCTGTTTTTTAAATTATTTCCTACAACATTTCAAAGTACTTCACACTGCAGACAGAAGTCTTTGGCATTAAAAATTGTACGAAAAAATGTATTGAGCTCTCTTGTCTTCAATGGCCATTAAAGATCGCAAGAAAAAATAAAAAATAAAATGTTACTCACACAATTCGTTAATTCAGAAGTGACAGTCGATCCTCACCTCCTTGGCACAGGACGAACGCATAGAGTAATTTAATTTATAAATAAAAAAGTATATTTTAAAGAAGCTTTTCTAGCGTAAAAAACCATGGAAGAAAATAGACATTTTAACGTCTTTGTCAATAACTCTACACAGAAGAGATAAGAACTATCCATCGCCGAATGGTAAAATGATATAACTCTTTTTCGTTTCTCTGAACTTTAAATGTCATTTTATATAAAGTACTCTTTACTTACGTTGTTGAGACCACTGAGTTCAGGCATGCGTGGTGGTTTGGGCGGGGGGATTAAACCGGAAGTTGGCACTGTTTTGACCACAAACCGCACAGGATTCTTAGCCCGTTTGATGATCTCAACAGCTTCATCATGCGAGGCGTCACGTAGATCGTGCCCATCAACCTGTAGACAAGAGTAGACAGTCACTTTGACTGATCAAACAGAAATATTTATCAATTTAAACCGCATTTAAGTCAGTAAAAGTATTTGAAACACAAACTGAAAGACCCTCACTTCCAATATCTGGTCACCAGTCACCAGCGTTCCTAAACGCGCAGCAGGACTGGACTCCAGTACGTGTCTGATAAAGATCCCTTTAAGGCCCTGGCCTTGTGGGCCAGCTTTACCACCAATGATGCTTATCCCCAGTCCACTGTCAGGTTCTCGGTTGAGTTCAACCACATGGACTCCAGGTTCGTTGTAGATTGGTTGTTTAACCGGTTGAAGCAGGTCAGACTGGTTTTCTAAAGAGTCTGGAATGTCGTACTCTTCGGCACCGTCCCTAAAATTTTCACAAGAATAAAAAAAAATCGTCAAACGGCTTGTATCAAACGTGTGATACAATAATAATGACAGGCTGAAGCAGATGCACGCTTGCTCACGCTTGGCCGTGTCTCTTCTGATGTCCTAATACTCAGTCATACTTTTTATCACGATCATTCACGCTTCGTCACACTTGATCGCACTTTTCTCTTCCGTCTCCGGAAATTTCCTCTAAAGCAAGATCTAACGCTACTGCTTAACGGCTCTATAGAAAAATTGGTCCAAATTCGGCAGAGTCTCATTTAATTCCCACACCATGATACATGTTAAACATCTCTTTCATCGATGACCGAGCCCAAAAATTTACTCTCTCTCAATTCCTTCACAGAGGACACCTTCGACGAAGCTAGATCCTCTTGGAGGGAGAGGGGGGAAGGGGGGAATGGGGGAAGGGACTTGGAATTTTCCTTGTCTCACGCTCGTGACAAAATGATCAACACTTTTCTCTCATAATCACCTTTTCTGCTCTCGGTCAGCTTCAGCCTCGAGAGACTGGGACGAATGCACCGATGACGTAGAACTGTCTTCAAGGAATGACGAAGGGGACTGTTGAATAGCCCGTGCAGGTGTCATCTCGCTGCGAATGAATGTGAACCTGAAAAAAAAGGAAATTTTAAAGTATAATTTCTGACTCTTTATTTTAGACTCACAATGGAACACAAAGGCCCATTGCTAAATGCGGGCCTCGTACGTATTGGTACATCTTTTTCGCTACAACCCGTGTAACTCAATTCGCCCCTAAACACAATTAAAAAATTGGTCCATAAACTGTTTACCATAACTGCTCCACTTTACATAAACGACTTTTTTATTTCTGAGCTCAGTTCACCTGAACTCAATGCTAAGACCAAACAACGCGGATTAATGTGTCTACTTGAGTCTGAAAAGCTTTAGCAGATTTCTTTACTTACACGATGTCCTTCAACAAAGATTGCTTCCTGAGAACAGACCTATTGGACATTAAAACGATCAAAAACATACATGAGGTCAAAGATATTCTTAGTTAATTAAAACCTACTAGAAATTACTGTCGTTTATCTCCGGATATAAGTTATTTGCGAAATTAACGTTGCCTCCCTCGATTAGTGAATATCCCTCGTTTTTTTGTTTTTTTGTTTTTTTTTTTGGGGGGGGGAGAGGAGGGCCGGAGAATGGAGCGGGAGAGGGCACGAGCCTGCAAAGGTCAATTATTTAGAACTGCACCTGGCTCTGTGTCCCGAGAGTCCAATCATGCTTTCATCATTGACAGCAACAAGATGATCCCCGACCCCAATCCGTCCGTCCAGTCCAACAGCACCTCCCCTCAAAACTGACTTGACAACACAACCACAGCCATCCTCGTCTCCCTTCAAAGTAAGACCTGGCAGAAGAAAAAAGGAAGAATTACAAAAGAGAAAGTCAACGAGAAGCTCACCTTCGGAAACAAAGTTCCCTGTCGAGGTAATCAAACGTGTAACCGTATTTACAAACGAGATTGTTCGCACGCTGGAAATATTGAAGGAAAAAGTGTGTGAGTAGAGCACTGCCACCACAACAGAGCGGTCTCAGATGTAGTAACCCGGCATTGCATTGGTTTTGTCTCAGAGCGCTCTGTCATTGGTTCATAAAAACGAACGTCAATCCCTCAACCAATCAGAAGCAAAATTAAAACCAACCGCGACCTAATCACGTGCATTTTCCCGCGCTCAAACCCATTCGTTTTTATTTTTTCCTTTTTCTAATTTCTCATTGGCTCATTATAAAAATCTCCTTTGCTCTGATTGGCCGTGGGAATAACCCTCGTTTTAGTTTTACGACACAAAGCCAAAAAGCGCTTTCTAACAATCAGCTATGAACACTTGCAATATCATTCAACTTACCCAATTTTCCAACCATCTGCCTTCGAATGGTTATGGTCTCCATTCTAGATTTGATATTCTCTGGCAAACTGTCCATATCGATAGAATCTCCTGAGAACAACAATGGCGGACCGAAGTCAAACTTGGACGAACGTTCACTTCCGCTGTCACTCAAGTCATTGTCACTCTCCTTTTCGACTTCGATGTCGCCCATTAAAGCAGCATGATTGTCTGAAGGAGTCGCAAGAGAAAAGAACGGATTAACGACTGCTTTACTAAGACGTCTTTACATATAACTCTCGTCTGTAACCTTTCAAGTAAAGCTAACGATCACGGCCCAGTTCTTCAAAGGGGGATAACGTTATCAGACGGATTAATCGCTATCCACCAGATAAGTGTGAACAAAAAGCGCTGCGCTATCCTCTGGATACCAGTTCTTTCAAAAGTTTCTGAGCACGACACTGAGGTGATGCATCTTTGAGTTGATTATGTTGGAAAAAATGGTAATAATACTAACGCCTGTCGATGAAATCCTAGCGTGTTACTGTTCAAATGAAAGCTTTTAAGCGGTGATTTTATATGGTATGATTATATATGGAGTATAAATGGGTACTAGCAAACTGTCACGTAAACGTGAAGACATTAAATCCTAGTATGCGATTATACGACAAAAAATGCTTGTGTGGTACAAAACAGGACATTTAAAAAGACGGAGTTTACCTCTTCCGTTTTGTGTGTTACTTTCCAGTAACTGTTCACCCATGTACCTTGCAGTTTCTGGTGGAGTCTCTTCATACTCTTCATCTTCAACAGGGATTGGCCTGGCGACACCAATTCGTACTTTACCTGAAAGGGAGAGGATTGTGTCAAGCGGGGCCATAACAAAACACAACGCTAACACAGAAGAGGCGTGTTCGGTCCCGTGACGCGCTTAAACCAATCAATACGATACCTTGTGGAGCCCCTTTCAGTGTCTCAACAGCATAGCTGAGGGAGGCATTTTCCAGATTGGTGTCATTGACAGACATCAGTCGATCAACTGGCTTCAATCTTCCATCCTGTTCTGCCACACCTCCGGGTACCAGACTCCGAATTACAATCACTGTTTTTTCAGGAGAGACTGGGTCCTATTAATGGTAACACGCTTGTCAGAGGATTACGTTAGGTTTACTCTACAAAAAGTTAATTTTCGATAATAGTGTTTTGTATCAATTATATGTCGATATTCCTTAACTATAAGAAAATAATCTCGAAATAAATCGAGACAAATGCTCGACATCTGTGTTAACTTGACAAAAAATTTCAAAATTAACCGATCTTTTTCAATTATTATGTCACAAAATGCTTCGAAAACTTTTGATCCTCACTGTGTAGAAGAGGCTTGTCACATAGAAACCAACAATTACTTTTTACAGTAGTTGTCAGCGAAATCAGAAGACCATGACTTTTAACCCTCTAGGGATATTTTTGACGAAAGTATTTGTAAGCTCTTTTATATTTTTAAAAAGCGTGTCAAGCACTTTGTCTTTAGCTACTGCACTACGAGCAAGAATAAAACCGTTTCATTGAAACCGCGGATCGAAATCCTCGAAAAGTTCTCGAGCCTCCCGAAACTCGATTCTCGGACCTCAATTCGCGATTCTCGAATATCGATTCGCGAATTTACTCACCTTGTAATCCAGGATACTAAATCCCAGTCCTCTGTCCTCCTTGTCCAGCTCAATATATTCGATCTCATCGGACCACATGGACATGGGCTGAGACATAGCGGACTCATTGAGACCAGTGGGACTGGGGCTATCAGGCAAGGCTGACAACATGGGACTAGGAGTTGTTATGGCAATCTCTTCGTAAGGATTATCTGAAAAGTAAAACAAGATTAAACATTACGATGAGAACCGACGGGGCTATATGTAACAGTATCTCATCGAAGACCACTTTTCGAGTGAGGGTTGTGATGCCAAAAGCAAAGAAATCAATTTTGGAGGGAAGAGCAAAAAATTATGCGAGAGTGAGGAAAACTTGGAGAGACTGTAGAGAGAAGAGCCGCTCCTTCTCAGACCCCCAATGAAATTTCACTTGCTCGCTCTGTCATGCATCTCAACTGACCGAAAGCCTGGAACAGGTTCAAGTAATCCCAATGGCCAATCGGAACAAAGAAAAGTATTGAAAGGAGCCAATGAGAAGCCAAAGAAAAATCAAGCAAACTACCTGGAGCGCGCGGGAAAATGAATTGACCATATCACGCTGGGCTTTATGTTGCATCTGATAAGTTGAGTCAGGGAGGCAACGCGAGTTTTCTAGACCAATCACAAGGAAAAAGCATTGCTATCCCAGAATCACTATTATTACTACCATATTTTGTGCGTATAGGGCTACGCTGTGGGCACGATGCGAGATCCGCGATTTAATCGTACAATGTAATTTGCTTTTATCAAATTCTCTTTCCATCTTATACCTTCTCTTTCAGTTTCATTTGGTTGACTCTCCACCTCCATTTCAGTCTCTGCTGCGATGACTTCCTCGTCCGCAGAATCTCGTTTTCTGGCAACAACCAGTCGAAAGTCCACGGGCAATCCTTGTATGAGCGTGACAACGTCAGAATGGTTCATCTCTAGAACGCTGACACCATTTACCTTGAAATTTCAAGAAAGTGTCATACACAGATGAAAAACACTGAAATACAATTTATGGTGCGCAAATTATCACTACCTATGTTTAAATATACGCAAAAAATTAACGTCGCAGTTTCATACACAAATGTAATCTAAGAATGGCTCTCCTTTCAGAAAACAAAATAAAGCAAAGGTCGACTTAGACCTGCAAGGTTTTTCTTTAAGCGTATCACTTATTATAATTCTAGTGTAGGAATAAATGTGTTAAGCTAATTCACGCTTTTAATTCAAGATAGACTAGGAAAAAAGTTCATGGCGCTGAAATATTTCTTTTTCACTGTTCTTAACATTCGCGCAATGGAAGCTGTAAAAGACGAGCTACTCAGGAACCCTGCTCTTGACAGGCAATATTCATGTCAAGAACACAACCAAACATCTGTTCCTAATTTACTCGTCCAAACGAATCTTCTTTGCTTAATGTAAATTACCCAGCAAGCTTTAGTACAAGCAACTTTACACCACACTGTACCTCGACCAGATGATCACCGGGTTTGACAATTCCATTCTGACCCACCGGTCCCTCAGGACTAACAGCATGGATTCTGTGCCACGGCAGGGAACCATCTTAAAAAACACCAAATGACTCTTTTAATAATAAAAACTATCCCATGTCTTCACCATAAAATATATCGTTGTTGAGACAACCAGTCTATTTTCAATCGTAAGTATGCATTACTGGCGAGCGAAGGATTGAGGTTGCTGAATTTTAGCAAGTTCTTTTTAATTTGACAGTTTTGTTTTGGACAAAAAGGAACGCTTACATCTGAACAAAAGCTTATTTTGTGTCCCACATAGTGAAGTCTCCACATTGTCTCTCCTAAATTTCTAACAATTTAGCACTGAAAATTTAATGCTTAAGTCATTGTCAAACATTATCCCCTATCTGATATTTTTTTGAGATTCTCTTCATCTTTCTGCTGGAAAATGTATTAATGCTGTACGGAGAAATTCGGTTTTGGTCACTCTTGGGACCAAGAAGGTTACACCTGATTCGGAAAAAGATTTTACCGTGTGGATTCTGAGTTCCTTCTAAACTGATCCCCAGGCCGCCTCCTTCGTGGAATTTGGAAATATCTGCAACCAGAACATCCACACCGTCTCCAACCAAATGGCTGTAATGTTCTTTAACATTTTCTGGATCTGAAAAAGTTAACACAAACATTCTAAATTTACCTTTTCGTCTGTTTATTGATACATATATGTAAACTCTTGAAAGATCGCCAATACACAGAGTTCTAACTTCAGATTGAGAGTCAGTTGCTGCATCAAGCAACAGTCCATTTTACAGTTGCGTGCTTAGCCTCACAGGAGTGAGGCTAAGGGTGACCTTTTTATGATACAAACCTTGCTGTTTTTCAAATGTAAATGACTCTGTTATCATGCAAATCAGATACTGGTCTTTGTCACAACATGGTCACCTTCAGCCTTACCCTAAACCAAAGGCTTGGCAACTACATCAAGTGCACAACTGTAAAATGGCCTATCTGAGTGTTGTAAAACCAAAACAAAGTAACTATAGTGCCATTTACATCAAAAATCAAAACAGGGATCTATCACAAGAAGCCAATGAGACCACAAAGCAAAAACAAACAAACTGACTGAAGCACAGGAAGAAAATGGGTCACCAGCTGATGACTGGTTCAAGTATTGTACTGGATTTGTTGAGAGAGAGAAAGTAGCCCAGACAGTGAAACTTGTATTAAGCAGTCACATGCAGAGAATGACATGGTGACTGTTTAATACAGTTTGACTGCTTAATACGGTTTCACACAATGAGCACATTATAGAGAAACAATAATATTATAATACGTCATTTAAAGCCAAAATTGACTACTTATTGTACAAAAATTCACTCAAAAATATTACCAACATTGATTTAGAGAGATAATTATGGATCAAAGTTTACTTTTTTTTATTTGAGTGGTTCTGCCTTAAGTGACAGGCTGCTCAAACTCAGTTAACCCTTTAACTCCCAAGATCTGATTGTTAATTCTCCCTTCTAGCTGCTACACATTTCCTTGTAAATTAGTAGCATGAATTTGGTGTTCGATCAAGATAACAACTACTGCCTGATATATTTGAAGTACTCTAGTTACCCATTTGCTGGATATTGGATGTATCTTGTAGGGAGAAGTTACATGTGAATCACCTCTGAGGGTTAGAGGTTAAGGGTGACCATGACCACTTAATAGAGGTGACTGCTTTATAAAGGTGATATTAAAGTAATAAAGGGGTAAAAACTTCAGGACTTTGAAAACCAACACCTTAAAACAATGCTGCTTAACCCTTTGACTCCCAGAATTTGTAATTCTTGTTACTGTCAACCATACAATTCTTATCAATAATATTAGTTTAGAAAATTTAGTATTGGATCAAGTAATTATCCCCAAATTGATATTTTTCTTTATTCTCATCACTTATCTGGTTAATATTGTATTGATATTGTAAGGAGAAATTCTGTCTTGGTCACTCATGGGAATTAAAGGGTTTGTAAAGGTTTGACTGAATTTTCTTAATGGTAGCCAATTTACATTTATAAACTCACCAGTATGATGCTTTCCTTCAGAAGCAGCTGAATTCAGGCGCTTCACTGAAGACTCTGCCAGACTTGCACTAGACTGGGCACTTAGTGATGTAGTTGGATGATACTCATCTGTGTAAGACATAGGTACCATTTAATTATTCAATTACTTAATAGTAGAAATAAATTATCTTTAGACCAATGTTAAAAAAAAATGCACAGTGATAATTATGTACAATGTAACTTACCAACGGGAGTCTGTTGTCTACTGAGGCTGTGCTTGACATGCCGAGCTACCTTCAGTCGAACAACTGGTCCAGTTTGTTTCAGAATTTCCACAGCTTGTTGGTTATTTTTACCATGCAGACTAACATCATCAACCTGCACAGGAATTTGACAAGGAACAGCAATTAGCAATGAGCAGCAGTTAATAAGGAAGGGTCTCTCATAGCCAGGTGGAGCAGATGCCGTGGAGGCTGTAGCCACTCCCCATACAAAACCCCTACCCCCACTTCACTTGAAACTTTTGCTTGAGATAATTGAATGAGGCCACAGGTTTTTTTCAGTGTTTCTATCATGGACAAGAGTTACACTCTATAAATGAAGCCTATAAACATTATGGCTGGCACTAGTATCATACCTCAATGATTTGGTCGTTAATCCTTAACCTTCCATCGACAGCAGCAGTGCTTCCTTCTGCAATACTTTTTACAAAAATTCCTGACAATTCCGCTAAAGGTATAAATATCAATTAAAATAAAAATTTAATAATTAAAAAATCAGGAGTTCAGAGAGCAGCTGAACACTCAATAAAGTAGGACTGATCATACTATTATGATCACCATGGCAACATATATCATGCAAACTTACCTGAAGACTGCTCGACATATCCAGCAATGGTTATTCCCAGGCCTCTACTGTCCTTTACCAGTTCAACATCAAACGCTTCCACATCTTTGCCTTCCTATACAATTTAAAACATCAAAATGCTCATTTTGTAGACATAAGGAATTAAAAATTTTTGATGTCTATGAGATCATTAGGGCAAGATTACCGGAGGGTCTAAGAGGATCATTTCTCACTATCAAAATTTATCAATTCTCTGCATCCTCTGCCATAAGTTTGGCACAATTTTCACCCAGAGAATTTGGTGTCACATGAAATAACATCCTCTTGTTGACATTTTGCTTCCTTCTTGTCACTCTCTTGCTTGAAAATGTACAAATACTTTAGTGAGAAATTCCTCTTTGGTCATTCTTGGGAGTGGAAGGGGTAACCAACAGGCTACCATTTGTCAATTTGTATCTCTGCAATTGTTATAATTCTTACCTCTACTGTGGAGGACGCATCAATGTTGGATTCATCAGTTACCAGTCTAGCAATAACAAGTTTCACATGCTGTCCAACTTTACGTAAAACCTGGGCGACCTGTTCACTTCCCATACCGCCAACATTTACTTCTCCAATTTGAAGAATGTGATCACCACTGCGCAATCTCCCATCCTAAATTGTTAACAAGAAAATAAAGAAGACTAGTGTCAACTGAAATCAAAGATGGCAACAACAAAAGTACCCAGCACAGAGATGTACTCTGTAACTAGCTTGCACCTTGTTTTGTCATTCTTATATCTGTTCATAAAAGAAAGACAAACGACTCAAAATAATACAGATGAACTTGGTTGGGTCGGCAAAAAAAGGAAAGGGAGAGACCAATTCTAATGTTTGTTGATTCTTGTAGTATCCTGTATATGTACAATGCCACTCAAAGGTACATGTATAGTGTAAGTTGACAGTTCCTCAAAACTCGATCCTTGATGCTTGAGAATTTTGGGGATCAAGAATATAGAGTGTAGTTTCCAGCCTTTCCAGGCAAGAAAACAATGAAATTATTGCACATCAATTAATTTTTCACACAACTTGAAGCTTCCTACCTTTTCTAGGTTGCATGATAAAAAATTATTTCACCTTGCATTGTGCCTAATGCAGCAATTAAACTTTCCATCACCTTCATTAGTATATACAAGTACATACCCTATCAGCAACACCTCTAGGAAGTATGGTCTTCACAATAACACCTGTACTTCTTCCACCCACAATACCAAACCCCAGACCTGACCCGTCATTGTGGAGCTCAACAGTTTCAATGTGTCGCAAGTTCTCTCCATCCCCAGCCTAAAAAGGAAAAAGGAATTATAGATAAAAAGAGCTGTAATATTATATTTTGGTCCCAAGCATGAGGCCCTGTGAAAATTGAAACTCAGAGCTTCTCAGTAAAAAACTCAGTAACCTTTTCACTCCCAAAAGTGATCAACATGTTACCTCTCCCTATAATGTCCATATATTATCCAAAAAACAAGTGATGAGAATACCTCCTAACTTAACAGGTAGATGTTACAGGTATCTTGATCTAGCCACATATTCTCATGACTAATTTACAAGGAAATGTTTAGCACCAAGAGGGGAGAATTAACAATCAGATCTTGGGGGTTAATGGTTAGTGAGCCTCTGCAGGCCATTACTAGGCTGAAATAAAATTTACATGCATAACAGGTGTTTTGCATACTTAGTGCTCTCCAGAAGCATGCATGTGTTTTTGCAGTCTTCCCATTTCCAAAACACCATCAGACAAGGCAGTAAAACACCTGCCTTGATGTAAAATATATCTTGACCCTTTGCTTGCTAGCTAGATTTTTTCATAGTTGGCAACTAAAACATCTGAGGAGAGCACTGATACTGCTAGGATTAGGAAATGTCAAAACTACTGTATGCATAAATACTTGACAATTGCAAGGTCCTGTGTCATGTCTAACGTACACTTAAAATAAAATACTATCAACCTTTGAATAAGTGTATCACTAGAGTAATAATATTCTGTGGTTTACTTACAGGTACTGTCACAGATGTATGTGAAACAGTACTGACATCTGAAGGTGTCCGTGACAATGCTGAACTTGCTCCAGAAGTAGTGCGTGACAGATTCCTTGAGCGTGGAATTCCACCTCTAGCAACAATCAGTTCAACTTCACCACTAGTTTGCTGCAAAACTCCAATAGCCTGCTGATGAGTCATTCCGCTGTCGAGCTGTTTGCCATCTATGGCAAGAATCTGGTCACTTTCTTGCAACCTTCCATCCCTGAGAATGAAAGTAAAGTATGAATTCTACTACCTGTTTACAGCATGTATGTGTATATAAATCTATATATATTTAAACCTGTTTTCCTATGTTAATGTGCATGCACTTCTAATATAACTGGTTCCTCAAGTACAATAGAATGAATCCTGTAATGTTATTGACTGCCAAATAGGCGAGGCAAGCCAACTTTGATCTGGCAGAACAAGACAATGCTTTATGTAGTGACTAGTTTCAGCTATATGTATAATTGAAAGGAAACTGTAGTTTTATTTTTTTTGAAACAAAGGATGGTTTCCAGCACTTTACACAACCAAGAGTTTTGTGAATTTTTGCATATACAATACACTTTTACTCTTGGCCATAAAATAATTCATTTATTGATCAAGAGTATTTAGTTTAGCTAGTTATAGAGCGACCCTGTTCTTTATTAGGGTTTTCATAAACCTTTACACAAATCTAACCATATAGACCACCTGTTTTAACTCTTTGACTTTTTAGAACTAAAAGCTTCTAATTTCTTTTTACAATATCACCCCTGAAAAAAACATTCAGATTACGAGAATAAAGTATATGATCACCAAATAAGAAAGCTCTCGATTATTCAACAAATTCTCCTTGTCAGCACCTTAAGAAATATATGGAGAGTAGTATGGAGAATATGCATTTTGATCTTAGGGTGGAAAGGGTTAAAGAGATTTACCTTCCTGCAACACCATCAGGCTGTATCTCTTGAATAAAGATGCCCAACTCTCCTCGATTTTCACTCTTCAGTCCCACAACACTGAAACCCAAACCACCTTGATCTGGTTTCATCAACTTCACTGTTTCAATTTCTCGACCCTGTGCCAGCGTTTCTATCCCTTTTTGAAAGTCTTCACTATTGGCAAATTTGGACTTCTTAAGCTCTGCCATGACTTGATCTCGATTGTCAATGGTTAAATCATAGTCTGCTTCAACGGCAGGGTCAGTGGATGTATAATGGTATGATGATGATGCATTCAGCCAATCCTCTGAATGATCATCCATTGTGACTGATTCATAGTGATTGGGTTCTTGATTGAACACGCCTGCTGTAGAAGGTGGTGCATTTGTAACTGCCACCTCTTCGCTGTCTGATACAGAATGGTGTGGAAATACAAGCTCTCCTGTGGGAGAGAAGTCAAAATCCTTTACTGAATCTGGTGGTGAATGTGTAAGTTTCCTGTTCAGTTCTTTCACTGACTGCTGAATCATCAAAAGTTGTCTAAACAGAGGGCTTTCGAGCATCTGTTTGATCCTTTCAAGTTCTTCATCGTTCTCTGTGTCTCCTTGAGACTTGAGCTTCTGTTGAAGACCATCTAAAATTTCTGCAGCACGAGATGTATCTGTTGAAAGACGATTGCAAAAAACAGAAAAATTCACTTTTTTTTTTAATCACAGTGGTACTAATAATAATCATGACTGCCACATCAAACCTTGTTAACTCTAGGAAATGTTTTTTCAGAGAGGGTCAGCGATCACAAAGAGCGAAATTTCCAGACCCTTGTGACCAATGCAAGATGTTATTATCATTTAACTAATGCTGAAATATGTATGGAATGCATACTAGCTTGACGGCAACAAAATCGTGCATAAACTTCACGGAACTTTAAATGCAGGGTAGTTTCGAAAGCAAGACACAATACAACCCTGAAAATTACTTATGTTACTTTCAACGTGGAAATCGACGAAAAATTTGTGCGGCGCACTGGAGGAGGTAGATGTTCACAATCGTGACATCTTAGCTCAGGAATGACCTTGTATTTAAGCGGCATTAACGTAAATCTAACTAGAAATATCTTATCGTACCGACTTGAAAACAGTATGATTTTCATAAAGCTGCAAAAATTTAAACAACATTACAACATAACCTTCAACTATAGTTCGATTCTCAACATGTGTCTCCAAAACGGATAAAATTCAATTTAATTGCTCTGACCTGCTAAAATCGGCATGGTGGGTCGAATATAACTTGCAATTTTCCTCTAAAACAGCGACAAATCCCAGCGTTCTCTAAACTTTAAAAGCTCTTTTCCTCCGCATTCACGAGTCATGGATTATAACAAAACGATCTCATCAAGCTTCTGTGTCTAGACCACTGAATAACAAGTGTGAATAACCAACGATTGTTGGATAATTTTGGAATTTGTCGCGTTTGTAAATAGAAACATAGAATGTTGGCCAGGCTACCAAGCAAAAAAAAAAATTATAGCGCCGATCAACAATGCACTTCGAGCGCGGTTATATGCACGCATCTAGGAGGGGTCCTAACGATGTCTTATGTAACATACATTTGAGTACTGTGATAATGATTTTCCTAATTGTGGACAACCACTGCTCGAACTGAAATGAAATTTTTTGTTATACAGCCTAGTTCATATCATAAAGTAGAAAGCTCCAACAAGAACAAACCCAAATTAATTAGAATAAATCAGCCTGAAGCACTGGTCACAAGGTGCCTTTTGGAATGTGTGTTTTGCGTTTTTACTGTTTTACTATATTCAGTCGATGCGCAAGTCGTGCACAGACAAAGAAAACCACAAGCATTCTATAATAGTTCTAAATTTTTTTCAGCGGATGCAACTTGAGATTACACGGTCATCAATGATCATTCCATGAAAACATTGCGGCAATAAATACTTGACAAATGACCCAAAATATATTTGCAGCCATATAACTAGCTAGGGAGTTTTACGAAAACACTCAGATGTATCACCTTCAATTTCTTCTGTTTTTGTTATTTAATGATATGTAAATAGAGATCCTAAAACAAGGCGGCCGAAATATCCGAATGATCTCTGAGATCAATTCCGTATGTGAGGCGGATTAGTTCAACTTCAAATCAAACTCTTAATAACAAGTAGAAGTGTATTTGTATGATGGCAGATATCTCTTGCACCAGTGCTTGAAAAAGCGGCACCAGGTAAGAGGCGGCTACTAAAGTATGAACTAAGAATAACTGGACGATGGGTACTGTCTAGGGAAACTGGTTCGTTTTAGTTATAACCAGGGCTTGTCAATTGTTAGCAATTTTTCTTTGATTTTAGCTTTCAGATACTTTTCTGTCGGAGGAGCAGAGCTAGGGCGGGGGTTCAGAGAGGGGGAGGGGGATGACGGCTTGAACGAACTTCTTCCCTTGCCCATGGATTATTTCAGCACTATTTTTAATTCAACTACGTACAAACCTTGAAATTTAAAGGACAAAAGGCGCAATTCTGAAGAGTCAACACGACGTTAATCATGCATGAGTCAGTTACGACTTAGCCAACAAACTGAAACACAGCGTGGATATCAATACGCAGTAGAGTTGTTATTTTAGGTGTAAAACAATGAGAAGCCCCCTTTCCCCCCCCCCCCCTCCTCCTTTGAAAAGTAATAGCAACGCGCCTTTAGACAAAGCTGAGCCCTGGAACAGGGTGTTCTGGTGATTGTACTCTGCACTAGCTTCTTACAAGCATTCGAGAGCGCTATTAAGTCTTTTTTTTTCCAGTATACCACCACTATGTTCTATGTTCTTGACGAAAGGAGAGGTTTTTTGTGATCCAAGATCTATTGATTAGTCACGTTCTGTCTAGATAAGGCACGATTCCTCTTTTAGTAATAAGTTCAATTTTCGGTACTGATAAATTGTGTTCTAATTAGAGAAAAGACGGTTCCATAAAATTTGGAGTCTGCGCTAAATTTTAAACAGGGATTAGCTGCGTCTAGTGAGGGAGAGCACGGTTTCATCGTTCAATCCTCTGTTGGTTCAATTTTTTATACTGGTCGGTTACGAACGAACTAGAGAAAGCAGTCAACCAAACTTCCGATCTATGTTTGGCAAGAAAGACACAGCACTTTGCTTGTATTTCACCCAATTGCAATTTTTAAAACTGATCAGTTACGCTCTGCGTGTGATGGGGAAAGCATACTCCTTTGTTCGTAGTTCGGGCTCAATTTTGAATTCTGATCAGCGGTCTGATTTGAAAAAGCTCTGTTTCTTTGATATTAACTGGCTTAATTTAGAACACAGACCAACTGCGTTCAAACGAGAAAAACCACGGTTTCTTTGTGAGTGATTGGCTAAATTTTCAACACTGATTGACTACGTCCTAGCTCGGGTAAGCACGATATTTTTTCTCGTTATTGGCGAAATTCTTGGTATTGATATATAATTTCAACGAAAAACAACTCTTGTGAAAACAATGGCTAGTACAATACACTATATTGGGCGAATCGCGGTATCTGAAGTAGAGGACAGGATCATCTACATGTTGTTCAAAATAATGTTCGATTATTACATGGATACTGGCTGTAAGTTTGCATACAAACGTTTCAAAAGTATTAAGCCTCCACATAAATCTGTGGGTGGTAAAGATGTTTGGTATGCCAAAAGGCAGCAATTCGTTTTCAGCTGAAGTGGTCATATATTTATTTTTCATTTTCGGTGCTTAGTGAAACCTTGAGTTACCCTAGTTTTGTAATGCTGCTCTGATGCGTAACCATGTCTAATATTCAATATTCATACAATTGACTATTTTAATCCCCAGTTTCGCATGTTTTACTCAGGTTTTTTATGGAAAAAGAATTGGCTTTGACTATGATTTTATAGGAGCAACACACTCTTCGCTGAGACTGCCCGGAACTTTTATCGCATCCTCTTGAAATAACGTTTGATCACACTTCAAGCATAATTTACAGAGTGTCTTCATCTGATAACCTTTGTAACATCAACGCCCACAAACCAACCAACGGAGAACAGGAGTATTAGTGAAAAACCTTCTTTTTTTTTCTGTCGAATGAACTGTTTACTGCTATTGCTTAATATTTTGAAATGCTTATGAAATCTGGGGAAAGGCAATTCTTCGATAAATTATAATGATATTCAGTCAGGATGCAATGATGAGCTTATTTAGCTTGAGGAAAGATTGTTCTTAGGCTTGGTTTTTAAAAAGGATTTCAAGTTGTTCTAGGAAAGTTTCTAGCTTTTTCTGACGACGAATTTTTTGTCCTACACACCTATTGTATTGAGAATTACTGCGATGAAATAGTAAGCCCACGTCGTACTTGTTGAAGATACTTACTTGGAAATAATTTTCTTTACTGGCAGCACAACTAAAATCATTGCCACATCTGCTCTAGATCAAGTTACAAATCATTTAGAATTTCTTTCTGTATATTAGTAGTCTAAAAACGGTTAGTTCTGAACTTTGAACATTTTAAACAATTTAAATTATGCACCGGCTTTTCCTGGTCGAATTCGGCCTGAAGCGAAAACTGAAAAGCTTGTGTTCGATAATTTTTTAGATGACAAATTATTCACATTTTTGTGTAAAAAGATCTTCAGCTCATTAAAGTGGAATTTATATGTAAAACTATACCGATAAACAACAAATAAATGACATTATCACGGACTTCTTGTTGCAAATATTGCTTCAAACTTAACTCAAGGGTTTGTCACAACGTTTAAAACACTGTTATACTTCTCTATTTGAAAGTCTTTATCGAGTTTGTTTTGTTATCACGATCGTTTTTGTTTTAAAAGCCCTCCGAGAAGGTTCAAATAAATAATTAAATCCAAGATAAACCACAACGTGTTTTCATTTATTAATCTCCTCCTAAGCTCAAGAGCCGGAAATGATATTCAGCTGCTCGTTAAAGAATCTTCTCAACGCACGAAAGAGTCGATTTTTTAATTTCACGCCAAGAATCATTCTTTCCAGCTGTTTTGCAGCTTCACCAATAAGTTGGAAATCTTCCAATTTGATTCACTGAATTTTTGCATCTAAAGGCGTTTAACAGCAGAGGAACGAGACCCTTTTATAAGGTAAAGTCAAAATAAGGAATTATTGTTTTCAGTTACTGAAATGTGTAAAGAATTAATCTTTGTTTTTTGTGGGTTAACTTCCAAAACTCCGCTACCTTTGTAAACTGGTGATAAAAGTACTTAGAAACTAGGGTCTAATGTTAGAAAACATGCGGAAGTTTTGAAAGCTGTTTATTTTGTTAAACCACTGAATTGAATTGATTACATTCAGCACACTAGAATGATAAAGTAAAACGAATTTATTGTGTTACCTAACGCTCTTGTAATCAGAATACTGATGTATCGACGAAAGACAAAAACAGCCCACGCCTCATTAACATAAAATGCATCAATTTTGTAAGGAGAGCAACTGCCACAATAAACATGCATGAAAAAATTTTGCATTTACTTTTGAAATATCTCAGATGTTCTTTCAATGCTGTTTATTTCAAAATTATTGGTAACGGTGTAATGCATGTGCTCTACAGTTTTGCCCAGGGATATTGGTCCAAGCCCTGCCATTCTTTGATTTACCGCTGTTTTTTGCTTGTCTTTGTGGTAACTATTACGCTATTACCGCAAGCTTGAAATTTTGACCTTCAAGAACATAAAGGTAAGCATTTTTAAACAAAGTGGTTTAAAGTTTAAAAATTTTCACGTTAGGGCTCTTAAACGCAATCCTGCGTGATAAGTCATCAAGCCGGCCCTTCAAAGAACTCTTTCATAGGGACAGTAATTGGCCTTGGAATAAACCTGAGCACGATGCCGAAACACATTTACTCTGCAGAAAACATTCTGCATCATATGAGCTTTTCGTTAAAGAGCTTTCATTTACTCTGCATTCATCCACATATTTATGGGGATATAGAAATACTGTATTATCACAGGGTTGAACCAATTTTGGTTCCTAATGCTCTCTTTCCGCGACATGCTCTAGCTAAGCGCACAAATCGTGAGCTTATTGGTACTAGTGTAGAGTAGATAAAGCGTTTATGACCATATGTACACACGCATACACACTAGGAGTTCTTAGTTAGACGAAGAATACTGCAGGGTGTACAGCTAATGAGGTGTATCAATAATATATTACGTTTGAACAGGTCATTGTTGTCCACACACGAACTCAGCGTAAGATGATGTTTTGTTTGAACGCAAACTTGTGGCATTGAATAGGCGGTAAAACCCGCTCAAAATATTAGTCTAATGTTTCTGTACAGATTTATGCTTTCAAAGTATTACCTCGATCGGCTCATTCTTAATGACTTCAACTTTGACTTAAGGATAAATAAGCAGGTTTTAAAATATCTTATGAGGAACATCAAGAAGTTTATATTTTAAGAATGAAATTATGTTTTCAGTCCCTGTATGTA